AGAAAATATTGGTAAAGTTATGCTGACAGGTAAATGCTTTGTAAATTTCCTATACAGCTGACATAACTCGCTTTTTTAGTTTTATGATTACATAATTGGATGTAAGCAACATCTCACAACTCACTGTATATCAGTGAGAAAATTTACATGTATACTCATCAATTCATGATGTATTGCCATTGTCAATATTAATATGTCATATACTTAAACTTTCCCCAAGCGATTTTGTGTTTGTCTGCAAGCAGAATATTTCTTGCAGGAAAATAACTGTATTAAAATGTGCATAAAGTTGTTCAAAATGACTAAAACTTGCACATATGGCATGAAGAATGAGTATTAGCTTGAAGATGTTCACTTGCCAGCAAAAGGACAGTGATCACATACTGCAAAGTTTTTATCCTTTATTGGCAGAACTTAAATCTCCTGTTACAATGATGCTGGTGGCCAAGTTAACAGTAGGCAGTTAAGGGTTTTATATTTATAAAATAAGACGATGATCCTGCAGGAACAACATATCTCACTGTATTCACTACTCACAGACTTCCCACAAATTTCTTACTGCTTTCTCACAATTTCAACTGAATTATTTTGGTTTTTCACATATGAAAGCAAGTCTTCTGGGTGCCTACTGAGTGTGGGTGGAAATTCTTGACTATACATTAACAGTTCAGAATGCATACACTGAAGTAAATATACATTCCAATATACAATGTCACTTCTGGCAATGACTCTCATATATATTTCTGAACTATTTATACTGTCATCAGTTGACTGTGTGGTATTCTTCACAGCACGATTTTTTTATTGTACGTCTTTCAGGAATATATTGTCTCTTTCTGCAATTTTTTTCACTTTACACCCAAGTGACACATCACCTTTTCCTGTGAATAAACTGAAGCTTAGCATTCAGGTGGGTCACTAGATGGTCTGTCTTGGCATTCTTCCACTACTGGTCATTATTTCATGCCCTAGGAACCTGGCAAGACTCTGTCCTAACCTGTTGGGATTTACAGGCCTCTTATGGTATCTTTAGAACTTTTTCTGTTCCACTTCTTTGTACTCATAAACTGATATATGGCAAATCAGTCGCCACTGCTGTTTCCCCCTCCACCCATATTTAATGTAGCCTAACAATGAATCTGATTACATTACAGCTGATTTGGGTATCAGACTGCAGTTCTGTCACCTCATTTTGGTCCCTTTTGTGGGAAGTACTGAACTCTGTAACCAAATATTTGTTCCTCCAAGCTGAGGCAAATTTTGCATGGGGTCTGAATGAAAGCATAACCCACTGTCTCATCACTCATTACACAAGTGCAGTGATATGTAGTGTGGACGTGATATCCAGGTGGGTTTGTAGGGTTTTTCATAACACAATATAACAATTCTTTCATGGATCTCGTAGTTTTAAACAGAACTGGACTCTTACTTGTGTAGTTTATGTTGTATGCTTTGCTGTGTGGTCTATACTCACACAGCAAAGCATACCACACAAACTGGACAACACAAAAACAGCAACAATTAACATCCTGGTAATAAGAAGATAAATTCGTGCTCAAGAAACGGTTAACACAAACGAATCTTGCCAATAATAGAAGAATCAGACGAAAAGATGTGTGGTCTACTACAGCAACAAACACTAAGCTGAATACAGCATATGACACTTCTAATTAATTTCTAATTTTTAACTTTCAGTTCATATATATCTTGTATTTAAATCAACATCTAACATTTTGAATATAAATGTACATAGAAAGTAGTAACTTTAAGCTTATGTATGTAAATATGAATACATGGTTTACAATTCAATAATGAGAATGGGTAAATAACAACACCTGAGGATGACCCTATAAGGGTCGAAACATGTAGTGGAACTTATATTAATAAAGTATACTTGCCCTGACAGTGGAATCTGTATTATTAGTAATACTCACACAACAGGATGCAAATATTAAAAATAAAAAATAAATAAAAACCTTACTTTTTGTTTTGCCACTGTATGGTTTAAAATTATATACACAACCAATACTGCTCTAAGATAGGAGAAACCTTTTCAGTCTAAACTCTATTGGCTTCAGAGGGTTATATGTTCTGAATGATACCCTCCCTTTCATCAACAGCTACAGCTATGAAAATAAAATTTTAAAGATAGCGGATATTAGCATGTTCTCGCAAAACAATTTCTTAATTTCAAGAAACAATACCACGATACAAACGATACTTCAGAATACAAATTATCCATACATGGTAACTGTCAATAAGAAAATGTCCTAATAGAATTTTACTCGATCAAGACATAGTGTCACCATAAAATATCACCTCTAAGTCGCAGATATATTTTTTTAAGATAATTTATTCCACAGTTAATGGCTGCAGGATATTTAAGAAATGTTTTTATTTTCATGTGGAGACAGTCCATGGTAGAACCACCTAATTGCAGGGAGTATGGAGATAAAAAAGTACATCTATGCCCTTAGTGGGATCTGAACCTGCAAATTCAGCATGTGCTCCTTTAGAGACCATCTGTGCATTATGCATATAACCACTAGAATCAGTTACAGAAATTGCTATACTTTATTGAAATGGAGAGAACATGTATTTCTACCAGATAATTTTGCAATGCATGAGGTATCCGGTATTTATTGTCATGTAACGGAATTAAAAAAAAATACGAAAAAAGAGCAAACTTCACTTTCTTGGGAGTTCTGGATGTGTCTTCTTTGCACCTGATGTATCTCAGGGGAAACTCAGGCAACTATTATGAAAGAAACACCTTTTATTCTTAGGATAAATAAAGAAAGGTGGTTTAATACAGTCGTGATAAATACAAATTAATCTGATGACATATAAATATTGTAAATAATAATCACAGCATTTATTTTATACTGTACATTAAAAAGACAATAATATCAAACTGAGCCTCTTGGAAAAAATTATATAACCGAAAATATGTACGAACGACAGTCTGTACTACATAGTATGTAAACTCAACTGTCTTTACTTGATCAAAATTACAACTATTTTTCTAGTTATTATCAAGTTTTAAATATACAATATATACATTGTGGTGTATTCCAGTCCTTTACAGAATAGTACACACAAAGATTGCCTCAAAATACACTAAAAATGAATATTTTATAGAGGCTGAATTAATGTAGGTACCACACCATACTGTACATAGATGGCTAATATCTAAATACAATGCATGTATTTTCTTATGTTGATAATAAATGTCTGCAGTATTACCATCTCTGTATACCATTCATTAACTTCAGAACTGTGGCCAGTCACTAACATTGAGAATTAAACATAAAAATTATTTAAGTCATAATGGGAAGTATCCCATTACATCTGCCACTAATATTTATCATCATTAAGTCCTGTTTTGCCTTTTGATGTTCTGTGAATCAACAAAATACAAATACTCTGTGACTAAAATAAATATCAGAGATAGTAAACTTGATAATATATTTTCTGTCTTACTTTTTTAGTACTGTAATTTGAAAAAAGTTTGACAACTTCAGTATGTTATATTTGATTCTATTCAAAGAATAAAGGTATGTCTGCTGTCCTCCCAAAACAAAAGGCACATGATGTGAATAAATAAACCTCACTAATCCCACCTCTTCCCTTTGTCTGAGCAAGATATGTCTCATCCATATAATACTATTATTGTATATCATACACTGATCAGCAGAAGATTAAATGCAACTCTGGTCACTGAAATGTAAATAGGAAACTGGTATCCCTACATATAGTATTCCTAAAATTGTATTTTAATTTTAAACTCAACACATTATAATGAGTTATATTTCTAAATACACTTTAACAAATTTGGAATTTCTGTTTTACTTTTACCAGTCAAAAGTAGCTCAAGTACTGGAAGTGAGCAGTACTGTGTTGTTGTATTTCCTACAAACTTTACAGCAAACAAAGTGCTTTAACTTATACAAAATTATCCTATGTGGTTACAAATTTAATTCTGCCTGCAACAAGATTTTTACAACTCAGTGTTATCAAAATTATAAAGTTTAAGACTACATTAAGTTTATTTTTGCTTGCTTCATTAACCCCTCCAGAGATGAAAGTATAGAAGAACCGAGTAGTCGTATAAAATTAAATTAAATTTCAAACATATACTGCTGGAAAATTAAATTTAACTTCTGAATTTTTCATAGTTTTATAAACAATTGCATTTGTTGTTAATATTATGACACAAAATGAAATGGAGTATTCAGAACATTGCCAAATTCAACAGTAACAAATTAAATTCAGTGTCACATAGGAGCATCCTGTATAATCTGTGGATGTAATCATGTACAACTATATTTATATACATATATAACATTTATATATTTTTTGGCAAAATATAAAGCTTCTTATTCACAACTTTTTATAAGGTATTTTCAGGGTCGGATTAACAGCAATGGGCAACACAAGGTACATTCCAAGAAACAAAATGCCAAAACTGTAATACAGGTCTAATTTAGTGGAATAAAAAAATATATAGATTTATACAAAGTAAGAAGTAGGGCCATTACAGAATCTCTGGAATGCTCATGTAATAGCTGCATTTTATTTTCAAATCATCGCTCTTCTAAAGCAAAGACGTAGCATGTACATGATATCTAACACTATGCTTAAAGAAACTACTCCCCCACATACAGACTTGTAGTAAGTTTATTTATACACCAAGTTAACAGATCAAAATTATTTTAACAATCAATTTCCTTCCCTCTCCATCAAAATGAATGGTAAAAAAGATAAGTACATGAAACAAGCTCTCTTGTGGAGAGGGGTGTTTACAATGGGAAAGTTTTTTCTTCCTTTGTTGCTACAGCCCCAATTTTGGCCTTGGCCTACCTCCATGAAACCATCCGTTTCACTTCGGTTTACTAGATCTTAAAGACACTTTGTAGGACTCCTTGGGCACGTGATCAGCTAGCTGCAAGGCCTCTACCTGTACACGAGCAGAGAAAAACACACACAAACACTAAATATCCATGCCCCGAGTGGGATTTGAACCCATGATCCAGGCTTCCAAGGGAGCAAAGGCAGTGCATGCCTCAGACCACTCAGCTACTGTGAATGGCTGGGAAAGGCTTACAGCATTAAAATTCTCCTGCCTTCAACTGAAACCATATAGACAAGTCACTGGGTTAAAAAAGGTAGAGATTTCTCATTCATTATGCAGGCATTACTCTTCAAAATTAATTCATGTGTGATGAAACTTTCAGCTGCCCTACTACCTGAACTGCTTCCAAGAACACAGACTGTATTATTAAACAAGATTTAGAACATAAGTACTACAATCACAGAAAATTTCTTTGTATGAATCATTGTATGTTCTGACAAAGAATCTGCACTACAATACTGGTAATAACATATAAGAGCATCCCCTGTAACACAGATGTATGAATAAGTTTAATTACTCAAGAAATGTGATGAGAATTTTGTTACAACACAAAGCCAGATACTGGGAACACTTATTACATTCTTACAAGGTAAAGGTAAGGTAAAGTTGTCCTTGTCCCTGTGCTTAACTAATAAGCATTATGCCATGAAGGCATATGGAGAGTGGATGTACAGCTCCACATTCTCTTATCCTCAGGACTAGCTGGGGGTGTGGGGTCAGCTTCGTGTCTCTATCACTTTACCCCTCCAGGAAAAGAGTCCACAGTACCCATTGGATAGGATGGGTGGACCCCAGAGGCGGTCTGGATGATGTGAAGAGAAAATTCTTGACCTTACCAGGACTCGAACTCCAACCCGTTGTCCAGCCCCTCACCAGTCACTATACAGACCACGTTATCCTGGCTCAACATTCTTATATATTATTATTTTTTAATAACAGTGAGGCAGCAAGCAGAGCTATTACAAGAGCATGCAATGTGAAGGCAACAACTTCAAAATGTAACACAATATTTTTAGACATATTTAATATTCTTATCAATCAGGAAATAACAGAAATTTGATAAGTCTATCTAATCTGAGGTCATCAGTATGTTACTACGTTGCACTGTCAGTACAGTTAATTTTATATGTACTGCTCTCATGCCATAAACACAGACGAACCATACACACAGACATACAAATAAATCTAAACATACATTCTAAAACTCCCACACAAAATATGAAGAACCAACCACATCTTCTTACATTGATGTGGCAATGAATTATTTATTAAAATGGAAATCCTTAATTTCTGGGACCGTGATATAGTGTTAATATAACAGATATGAACTGGCATGATATTTGAATGCTGTGTTCCAGTATCATGTTAATCCGACCTCGAGCGTGTTGCATGTACCAGTTTCTGTGTTACTGGTTCACATGCAGGTGTTCCCAACAAACCTTTGTTTGTAGTGCACTTCATACACAGCCAGTAAGATACCACTCAAAATTTGAAGAACTGGCTCACAACCATCTCCACAGTTTACTTAATAGCTTGCTTCATGCCCTGCCAGAATATAGAGGTCTGCTCCCTCCTCATTCAAAGTCCCTCCTCTAGTTACTTCTTGACACAGGTGACTCTCCAGCACCACAACCCTACATATATAAAACACAAAAAACATAATCTGCCATGCATTCAACATCAAACTGAAAAGTTACACTGCATGGCCATGTCACCATATTTAAATTGCTTTAGTGCTCAACATTTTTATACTATGTATCAGCATAAGCTTCTTAAATTCATTTATGGTATGTCTTTATAAAAATATCTGATACATCAATTTTTACTGTTTGTTTCTCTACTATTGATACTTAATTTTAGATATTTCCCCCTTTTTTTTCTAAAAATCTTGGCTAGATTTGCATTTGACACTGACATACTAATCTATCTATGGCTCTACAGCCCTTGTGGACCTTGGTCGCTTTTTCAGTTTCTTAATCTATACACAGGGGGTAGGACTCCTTGGACAGCGGATCAGCCCATCACAAGGCCACTACCTATACAGAGAACAACACAAACACAGAACAGACGTCCACAGATATCCATGCCTCGAGTGGGATTCAAACCCACAATCCCAGCGTTCAAGTGGGCAAAGACAGTTTATGCCCTAGACCACACAACCATTGTGATCAGCTACACTGACATACTACCATGATTTATTTGGTAATGAGCTTGCAAATTTACACTGTAAATTCTCACTGTAAACCACACTTGTTCTATCATGGCTACACTGCAATTCTTAACTTTATTATACTATAGTATAGGCACTATGCGCTTTCAACTTACTTGTCTGAACCAAGCAACCTATACACTCTGCTTTGGTCCACTATTTCTTGTGTTACTTCTCCATTCTTGAAACCGCGACCCTGCATACCATGCTTGTGAAATGCCAATACACTATCTGGCAGACAGACTGAAAACATATCAGTTCAGTATATGTAATTACTTTTGCATTTAACTCTTTGAAGCATAAAGTTCATCATATAATATCAAAAACTTCAGTTCCTACTGTACAGAATGCACAATACATTTCCATAACAAAAACCAAGCAGTCATGTTACTTTAAGAAATAATCACTGTTTATTCTTAGAATCATGAAAACCCCATGGGTACACTATGTGGGCAAAATGCAGATTATTTGAATGTGAAAACAGGATACATACAGTACAAAGTGCTTTAGAGGGTTATATGGACATGGTGAAGTAATTCTGGAAAAATGACCAGTCATGTTCTGAGACTGTTAAAGACAAACATACTGAAGTAGATTTTATAACAAACAATACACTATTTCTCCCAGCCTCTGTGGTCTAGTGGTCAGAGTTCCTGACTAGAGATCCAAAGGTCCGGGCTCGATTCCCGGCGCTACCAGATTTTCTGAGAAGTAGTGGGTCTGGAACGGGGTCCACTCAGCCTTGTGAGGATAATTGAGGAGCTACTTCAAGGACATAGCGGCTCTGGTATAGAAAACCAAAATTAACAGCCATGGGGATTCATTGTGCTGACCACGCGACACCCTCTATCCACTAAAGTTGGCATTGACTTCATTGACAAGTGGTGGTCGCTCAATCGGTATAGTTCGCTTGTGGACTAAAACCACGGAGTTTGTTTTGTATAAAGTAATAAGCAACAGAAACATATATTAACATGTGGATTCTATTATTTTGAAAGAAGTACAGCAAATATTAAAAGCACATTTTCATTAAAAGAATATAATCACTTAAGTACATGTACATAAAAACAGAGAGCAAAAAGAAAATTGCAACTCCCAAACTAATGCATGTACACCACTGACTCTAAGGTTTGGATGCCATTCTTTAAAATCCCAATTTCAAAATGACTGTACATTTAGTACTATTTACACTATTTACCAATTGGCAGCATATCGTTACTATTACTAAAAAATAATGTCTTCTCTTCATACCAGTTCCAGTGCATGGAAATCAAACACGTAAGATTCCCACACTTACTACTTTTACAACTAACTTCAGATCTGTTATCATTATCACAGTTAGTTGCATCAAGATCAGAACCACTATCTGCAACAGCAATGACAAGCTCAACAACACTGTTATATGCATATGAGATCACCATCCACATTAGGACAGAGCAGTCTGGCTCTCATTTAATTTCCATGTTTCTGTTCTTACACATATTCTAGATGAAAATACTGATATTTAATGGTATATTCTGCTCACAATAAATTTAAACCATAGGCAAATGTGCCTTTGGAATACTTCATTTACACATGACATCTATGTCCTCCCTAGGTTCTTAATTGATGTGACATCAGCTAGATGACAGGGCTACTGCAGGAGCTTGGTCAACACTTCTGATGGTTCACACTACCAGAATATGTTATACTACAGATTTTCTTGAAATTAATTAACATGGTTCAAAATACTGTATAGAACATAATATGTGCACTTTATGAATCCTTATGACTTTCATTCAAGATATTTCCTCTCACGCAAATATTTTGCAAGAGAACCCACAAGTAAAATGTGATTCCAGTCAATAACCTTACTGCTAAATTTCCTCAATTTTAAAATTTTCCTATGTTTAGCGTTCAAATCTACCGGTCCCTCTTAAAACCTTAAACAGGAGTTCTGCTGTAAGCATAACATACAGTGAAATCCTCATTCAAATTTTTTTTGGGGAACAGTGGTTCTAAAGAGTAAACTGAGGAAAATCTTAAATGGAGGAAATTTAACACTGACATTATTGACTTGCAAACACTGAAATGTGAGAAACCCCTAAATTGAGGAATATTAAATTTCGATTCCACTGTATAAAATTTTACGAAAAATATATTGAAAGACTCACTAGATAAATGGAGAAGATAGTTTAGGCCATTACATACAAAATTTAGTACAGGTATGTAATACTGTGATTTACTGAAATTGGTCACATAGACTCAATGCTTTTGCTTGTGGAGACAGCGGCTATAAAAACATGCATGTGGACATGAATCAACCAATAATGTGCGCACCAAAGGCTATACTTGCAATGCTATCACACACCAATGAATCTCAAGGAACATGAGTCCTGTAATGTTTGTTCAAAACTTTCAAGAGAATATTTATCATAATTTATAATAAGTTTAGGCTCAAATATGTGGCTGTAAACTGAATGATCCAACCTTAAAATCCTTATATCCTAGCTAAAGTAAAACCTGATGCTGCTATGACTGTAAAGGGTCGTATCCTGAAAACATAACTGTGTGGTTCTTCCAATTAAAGCTGTTACACTGATACTATAGAAGAGTCCAACTTACCAATTGATTCCACTGTAAAATCAAAATTTAGCTGCGGTAACTGTTTTCTGTTAGATTTTGGTCTCCCTTGAAGTGTCACAATTTTAACCATATCTGGAAAACAACAAAAACGAGCTGAAGTATACATTTTACAACCTGGAATCATACTTAATATTCATTATATCTTTTTTTCAAGAGAGTCAACAGAATACTCTTGTATATTTCATTTTGGTAGAAGAGAAAGAGCATTTAACAGTGATAGGAGTTTGGCAGCAAAACCTAGTTGGTGTTGTGGGAATGGAATTTCACATAACTTCACATCTTCAAGCATGTCTTATAAAATATGTCATATGAGGTTACAAAACCAATATATATCTATCTAATATCATCAGTGTTTCTATACAGAATGTTTTAAAGTCAAGGTGCCCATAATATAACCTTTACTGTCATGAAAGACAGTAACCATAACCACATGTATCACAGGTATTTCAAATTACTGAAATTTTGTTATAGTTACATATACCATATCAAAACCTCACTGTATATACAAACTGAAAATGCTGAAAAAAGTTATGAAACAGATACACATATAATGTAAAAGTCTCGTCTAACAAGACAAATTCCTTAATCTTCTAATGCACATTCATGAGGGAAAGACTCAATAAAACAAATTCAAGGGACCCATCCTTTTAGCTTCTGACTTACACTGAACTTAAACAGAGTTTAAATAAATCATTATAAAACTGATTATTGTAAGACTTACTGTCATAGCAAACTAAGATGGCATCTTTCTCCAGTTGTGACACACTAATGACATTAATGTTTTCTCGTCGAGGTATAACTGTAGCTGTAAATGAAAACAATTACTGTACTTTAAGGTACTACATGTGTGCAAGCAAAAATTCATATACAGCAGAGGTAATGTTATATTTTAGTGTCCTGTTGNGTCGTGGATTGGATCAGCACCTGAAGATGGCACATTTGTGCCGAAACATGTAGTGAGAGTGAGAAGAGGGGATAGATGAGTGTATGCACTGGAAGACGGATAAAATAAATCATGGACAGCAGAGGTAAGACAGAAGACTAGATCAGTCAAGTACAGCTTTTAAGCACCAATGCACACATAACATCAATACTTCTTAGAGCTCTATTCATTAAGTATCTATCTAGCATGCCTACATATACAAACATACAGACCCACTCACACACAACATTCTTACAATATAATGTTACAACATGCTGTGCAGAAAATTTATATTTATGATCTTACAAATACTCTTCAATTAAATACAGGTACATATATATTACTTCTTCATGTGAATAAGAGAACATATAATACAAAAAAAAAAAAATGTATGTGTTGGAAATTTAGGTGTTCCAGTTACATTCATGACAGGATAAAATTCCTTACGTCTAATATAAATCACATAGTTCAACAAACCTGTTCCATCCATGTCTTCCAGTTCATCACTATGAAACCAACTGGCACCCGAATTCATGTTCATCAGGTCAAGCTTCAACCTGTTTTGTTCGTAGGCCTGCTTGACACTAACACACACCATAGGATACTCCATTTCGGGGGTGATGATCATCTCAAATACTGATAGCGGTGTCGGCAGAATGCATTCAAAATGCTGTAAAAAATATAATATGAAAGTTGCAGAACTTCAATTCTTATCTGAACAACAAATTTTTCGAAATACAGAGTGAAATCATCATGATTTTAAATTCCTGAGATAATATTTCATCACCCCATTTTATATGCTGCTAAATATTTTCATAACTGTGAATATATAAGAAAGTGAAAATGTGTCTATTTCAACTCAGTTTCATAAAGCAGTTAAATGAGGTATGTTGTTAGAATCAAAATAATAACAAAACTGAATTACTGGTTCTTAAAATAAGTTTAGGAGGGGCCTAAATATTATCTGAAGTTTTGCTTGCCAAACTAAAAGTAAATCTGTCACTCCATGGCCTATGAAAAATGTAGTCATTATTATTCTTATAGTTATTAATTTTTAATCTCTCAAGAATCAGGAAAATAATAATTACTTTATACATCAGTGGACCATAAAGACAGTTCCCCTCACAAAAATAATTAATAACAATATCATGTCAAAAGAGAAACATAATTAATTGTTTTATAAGTACTATCACTTGCTTACTATTCATTTTTTGCATAAAAAGAATGCACATAGGGGGGAAAATCATATCTGCCTGTCCACGGGTTTCAACCAGGAAATCACGGGATGTATTTTGATTAAATTTATTTTGAATGTTCTGGTATAGAAAGCCACTTAACTCATGTATTTTTTAATTTCCCACAACTGGTAATAAAAAGCGGCACGCTCACGAACTTGTGAGGTGGGAATGACATGAGCAACTACTGAAAAGTAGAACTGTAGTAAGCAGTAGTTAAGTATGATGACAGTAATCAGTAATTACAGTATTTGTCTTCTGAGCTATAGGAAATATATCTACGCTCCTAAACAACGTTTTTGAGGGGAACATTCATGTCATACGACAGTATTACTAAAAGTCAGTATGCTTTATGTGTAATTTACAATGAAGACTTTAAAAAGACTGAAACACATGCTAATGACATTCCAAATGTTGTTTCCTTTGTGAAATCACATTGGATCATCGAGGTAAAAACGGATAAGAAATGAAACGCCTTCGTCCAAATCTAACGTTTACTGAAGACTGAATGAACATTACAAGATACCAAAGGTACACACAGAAAGAAAGTAGCAGTGGGTGTGGTACCAACTTATGAACAATATATATCACCAGATAAATATGGCCAACACTAGAACTATAGTATTACAACACCAAACACCTTCACATTACTGCATGGCTATATAAGAACTAAAATAAAAATTTAAATTAATAATGTTAACATACTGGAACGGCCAGAGTATTCAGAGTGCCAAAGTTCAAAGGATACGTGTGAAATCTGTATGCACTTTCATATCACTTGCACCTTTCTGAATCTTGTTTATCTCTGTGTATGCATTTAGAACAGCTTTCACTTATTTGTCCATCTGATGACTGATGTAAGAGAAAAGTACTGAAAATATACTTCCAACATACCAACATCTATTTAAAAAACATAAATAAAACCACTCCCAAATCTGTTAATAAAATGCCTTTGTGAAGCTCTCTTCTCACCAGAACACAAAATTAACTTGCATCAAGCAAGTGGGTAACCCATATTTTTGAACCTGACTACGAGAACCCACTGAACTACGCAGTTTGACACTGCTGTAACAGGATCAGAACTACAGTCCCACTGGGGATTCATGATACTGTGATGTGTCGCGCTAGCTGGACGCCCCCCCCCCTCCGCCGGACCGGAGCCGAAGCGAGCCGAGTCCCAGCACGCTGGTAGCTATGCAACGCGAGTCAACAGTGGTGATGTCACCAAGGGATACCGCGGTTGCTAGGCAGCAGTAAACAACTCAGGACAGCGTTGCTAGCAACACGGCACCAGACAACAATGGTGCCTATTACGTGGCTGTTTTCTGAGTTGTCCGGAACGAGGCTAGATACGGAGCAGCGAAGACTATTCACAGTTAGTTCCGAGCAAGCCTACGAGTCAGTTAAAGTGTATCAGTGGCCGAAGACAGTTCTCCAGTCAGCAGTAAAAGTGTGATAATCAGTGACAGTTTGTGATAACTGAGAATTAATTGGGAGTGTGTAACACAGTGACACTTGTATAGCTCCCGTACTGTGAAACGTGTAGTCTACTGACAATAGCATGATTTGATTTGTGAATAGGGTTATAAATTGTGAAACCCCGCAATATTGTTATAATTAATTGTAGCCGTGATTTGTAGGTTCTTAAATAAACCAATTAACAATCCGAACGGCGTCTTCAGTAATGAAACACTTAGTGCTGTCCACTTTGATACAGCAATGTATTTGCCAGGCACACTGGGAGCTTGATGTTTCATTTGTAAATTCTGTTCCACTGCCATGTTGTTCCTAGATGTACTCTACAACTTGGGCCCACATTGGGGCACACTACATCATATGTAAGCAGGACCAGAGATCATCAAATCTGGTGGTACTGTAGTATGATACATTCAGAGAATTACCTACCTTTAGAAGCATAAATTTGTTGAGAGGATCATACCACTGCATAAGGAAAATTCCAGATGGCATAGCCCCACATAGGTACTTGTAACCATTGTAAGGATTTCTACCAACACAACACTTTGTACATCCTTTAGTGTCAGGGACTTTGGTAGTGAGTGCAAATTTCCGGGGTACTAGTCTCTCTGGAATTTTATTCATATGAAGTGAGAACCTGTGTGTCTGCTTGCTTTGCAATGCCAGTAAGTCGTGTCGGTACAGCTGGGGTGTTTTACCTGTAATCAGAACACATTATTAATGGTGTACTGTTTGAAGATTCTGGATCCTGAACGCAAGCTAGAGCCAATCATAAGACTGCTTGTGCAGGATCTGAACACACTATCACACTGCCTAATCCAATAAAGAAAACATGCAGGAAAAGTTCAAATGACAGACCTAGCATAACTTCAAATTACTAAGCACAATTATATTGTGACATGTTGCACAATGGAGGACAACCCCTCCTTACCCAGCAGTGACGTGGCGGATGAGTCAATACTCCGCCCCCCCCCCTCCACGGTGACGTAACATGCAATGCATCTGTGACACGGGTAACAGCCAACAGCGGTACTGATTGCGTAACAGGCAAGCGCTGCAACTATATAAGTGAACCACACTGCCTACAGAGTAGAGTTGAAATGTGGCCGTCGCCGAGTGCATTTGAAGTCAGTTAAAGTGTATCAACCGCCAAAGTGAGTTCTCCAGTCAGCAGCGAACGAGTTAGTGTGTGTTAAGGAGTGGCGCTGTGAAATATAGCAGCCGCCGATGACAGTGAGTATGTGATATAGGGACCCTTGAATAGCTCCCGTATCGTAATTAATGTGTAGCCTACTGAAGATAGAGTGATTTGATTTGCAAATAGGGTTATAAAGTGTGAAACCCCTCAACTGTGTTATAATTAATTGTAGCCGAGATTTGTAGGTTGTTGAATAAACCAATTAACAATCTCTACGGCGTTTTCAGTACCCAAAACACGTTACAATATAAAATCTAAAGTCCATTTACTCTCTTTCATTAATTAACTACTATAATTACAGAAGAAGCTACTTGGACCTAGTACACTGCAATACATTCCAAGTCTTGCTCTTCCAACTCCCAATCTATATCAGGCCTATCCACTATGGTCTGTTTCCATGTGCAACTTTCTTATACTTTTCTTTGCTCAGGTATAACAGATATTAATATGATACCATACTATAAACTACTACATACTACTATGACTTTTGCCTCCATGCCTATGCTGAAAACACATCATATTTGCTGAAATATTATTAACACAGTCTGATTTCATGATGACCCAATAACTGACCAAATGGACAGAGGCATTCTTGAGAAGCTGATATTAACTCAGATGATCAAAATATTACCCGCCTTTTACAGACTGAAGAATCATTACCAAGTTCACAAGTCTGCTATGGGATACTATCCTGAGTCAGCTGAATTCAATCCACATCTTCACACTGTCTTCTTTCAAGAAATATTTTAATGTTATTTTTTCATCTATGTTCAGGTCTCTTGAGTGGTATCTTCCAGAAGAAAAAGCCATATGCATTTATTATCTCTCTCATGTATGATACATGTCCTATCCTCCTTAACCTCCTTGATGTGATGACAACAATATATAAAAGGTCAGTGCATATCAGATGCTCCTCACATGTAAAGTTCTCCATATTCCACTTCCTTCCTTTCTCCTGTTCTCCTCATCCCTATTCTTAAACCTCAATTTATGTTCTTTGCTTAAGGAAGGGACCAAGTTTCATGTCCATAAAAAACAAGAAGTAAAATTATTGTTTTTGATGAGTTAATCTTCAGGTTTTAAACAGAAAATGGGAAAATAAAAGTTTCTGAATAAAATGGAGGAGATTTTAGTCCGTGTGCATTGAAATTAAAATTCATGTTCTTAAAAAGCCTGGCTACAGAAAGCATAACTTACTAACTTCTATGTAAGTTTTGAGGCTTTCACAGCGATTACTATGAAGAAAGTCGTCTTCTGGGGTCTGGCGCCGTGTATTCTTTGTTTCAGCCAACATTTCGGAGGAACATATCGCCTCCATCTTCAGGGCAGGTGAACTGTGTAGCGAATACAGAGAGCAGTAGCTGTAATGATTAGAAAGTGAAAGGTGCTCCTTTATATAGGAAGTAGGCAGGGGTGGTGGTTAGGGGAGAGGGGACCATTGGGAACAGTGAAGAGCGATTAAGGCTACAGAAATATATGGTCAGGGGGTGAAGGGGGAGGGAATGGGCGGTGAATACAGGCATCTTGGAGGTCGATGGCACGGAGCTTGCGGTTAGACAAGAAGAACCGGTTGGCTGGGGACAGGTTACTGACGTCAATGACATGAAGAAGAGTTGGGGTGAGTTGGTGGATTTCTCTTGAGGGAAGAGATGAGAGGCTTCCATGACTTGCCGAGACAAAACCCTGTTTCCTTGTTCATGTTATTCGGATGGAGCTCGATCTCAATGGCCTCCATGATTATGCAATCCAGGTAACGGCTCTTACAGGTGATTATGTCGGTTTTGTGAAACTGGATACGGTGGTCTAGCTCGATGCTGTGTTCAACTACGGCTGACTTGTCCGGATGTTCTAGGCGTAAATGCCGTTGATGTTCTTTCAACCTGGTGTCCACAGATCGGCCCGTTTGCCCAATGTAGACCTTGCCGCACTGGCAGGGGATTCTGTAAATTCCCGGTGTCCTCAGTCCCAGGTGATCCTTGACAGGCTGGAGGAAATTAGATATTTTCTTAGGGGGCAGGCCAACTGATTTGATGTTGTGCCGGGACAGCACTCTGCTGATCCTGTTGAATACAGTCCCGACAAAGGGCAAGAACGCCACAGTGTCTCTGCGGTCATCAGTTGATTGTAGTTGGGATGGCGGTTGAGGGCCCTGTGGATCTGCCGGTCGTTATAACCATTCTGTCTGAAGATGTCCTTCAGGTACTCCAACTCCGCACGTAGGCTGTCTTGATCGCACAGAGCTCTGGCCCTGTGTACGAGTGTGGAAAGAGCTGCCTGTTTGCTGGAAGGGTGATGATGGGACTTGGCACTGACATAGAGGTTGGTGTGTGTGGGTTTGCGGTATACTCTATGGCCTAGAGAGCCGTTGGGTCTCCTGTAAATATCTATGTCTAAGAAGGGAAGGTGGCCTTCACTTTCGGTTTCCATGGTGAGCTGAACGCATGGGTTAATACTGTTTAAGTGGTTCAGGAAACCCTTCAGTTTTTCAGGTCCGTGGGGCCAGATGACGAAGGTGTCGTCCACATATCGAAACCAGCATAGGGGCTTGTGTGGAGCCAAGTCAAGCGCCCTCTCCTCAAAGTCCTTCATGTAGAAGTTAGCGATGACAGGGGATAGTTGAGAGCCCATGGCTACACCGTCAGTCTGTTCGTAGAACTGGCCATCGATGCTGAAGTAGGATGTGGTTAGGACACGGCGAAAGAGTCTCAAGTTTTACTAACTTCTAGTTCACTTTTAACAACCATAACAATATGTGGAGTATGAAGTTCATTTGTTGGTGTTATTTTGCTGTATATATTTCTTTAGCATTATGTCATACATCATTCTTATAACAGATAATTTAAAAGTTCTCTAATGGAGTAAACATTTACCTCCTAGAAACATGCTTACATCCCAGCTGCCTGCAAAGCAGTCAAGAACTCCTACAACAGGCATCTAGACGGAACACACTAACCTGATAATGACATCAGGACATCCTTAATGACATACATCCATATCGTTCTGCGCGGATACAGTTGATCTATGGCAGTTTCATGAAGTTCATTGAGGTTGAGATTGTAGATGCCCTCTTCAGCACCTATGAGAATATGTTGGTCTCTTGTGTCCGGATGGATCCAGCTTGCAGTGCAGTGTATACGGAGAGGACACCCATTAAACACCTGATGAGTATCATATACCAGTAAATGCTCACTTCAATGCTACATCAACTGCAGGATTATGTAATGTCAAATGTGATGACAGGACAATCATGTATGATGAACTGTAATGGATTGAGGAGGAAGTGATTGTGAGTGATTTCAATGCATTATCCCAACATTCACCTGGAACAAATGACAGAAATCCTTAAAAATTCAGTGATATTACTACTACTCCAACCAGCTCAGTACTGTTAGACTTTAACATGGATTGTTTCTAAGCTAGCTGTGTGCATTACTTCATACAATATTGAACAGAACAGCAGTCTAGCCGGAAATCATTATGCTTATCAGTATTCATTCTGTATATCTAACAGTACAAATTTTGCTGTTAATATCCATATCTAAAACTGCATTTTCATTGGAGATTATATATCCATTTTGTGTAGGCATCCTACTATGGACCACTGGACAATTCAGCTTACTGCCTAAAATGTTTTAATGATGATTCCAATAGTCAAGAATATCATTCTGATATTTCTTTGCTTCTCAACATGCCATCATATGTATCCTAGCTTAGGCTGATGTCAGAACTTAAGACAATCTATTCTAAAATTTTTAGTACTGAAAGTTCCTGATTATGCTTGCTACCATTCAGTCAAGAACCTTTTGTATTCTCTTCTGTTGTCCAAAAACATAAAAATTAGAATATACAAAACTATAATTTTGCCTGTGGTTCTGTATGGGTGTGAAACTTGGTCTCTGACATTAAGGGAGGAACATAGACTGAGGGTGTTTGAGAACAGGGTGTTGAGGAGAATGTTTAGACCCAAGAGAGATGAAGTGACAGGAGGTTGGAGAAAAAGGAATAATGAGGAGCTTCATAACTTGTACTCTTCTCCAAGTATAATTAGAATGATCAATTCAAGGAGGATGAGATGGGCAGGGCATTTTGCATGAATGGGGGCGAAGAGGAATGCATATAGGATATTGGTTGCAAAGCCATAAGGAAAGAGACCATTAGGAAGACCAAGATGTACGTGGGGGGACAATATTGAAATAGATCATAGAGAGATAGGATGGGATGGCATGGTATGAATTGGATAGATCTGGCTCAGGATAGGGACCGGTGGAGGCCTCTTGTTAACACGGTAATGAACCTTCGGGTTCCATAAAATGCTGGGAAATTTTTGAGTAGCTGCAGAATTGGCGGCTCCTCAAGAAGGGCTCTGCAAATATTTAATGATGAAATTGAATAAACGGCAAAGAATTAGATGAATCCTAAAACAACCTATAATAAATTTCTTGAACACTGACAAACTCTCAAGGTCTTTCAGGCAGGAAACCAGTACTCTAACCACAAGACCATGCACCTTGCTTGGAAAAAATCAAATAAAAGATAAATAAATAAAAAATGTAAAAAATCCTTCCATTCATCCACTATCCAGTTAAAATACAAGATTACTATTGGAAAAGGGACACTGAAAATTCAACAAGAAAACTCTTATAAACTTCTGAAACTTTCTTCATTCATATGCTTTGCATCCTGTTGTGTATGTCACTACCATGTAAACGTGTCTGTAGAAAACAACCCCCTATATATTAGCAGGATAATTTTTAGGAAAATAACAATTTTAAATAAGCTTTACTAATTTTAGACAAATATTTTAACATATGCAAACACTGTAATTCTATATAAAAACTTTTACATGACATGACTATTAGCAATTGAGCCAATGCAACACGCAGTCTAGTAATGAACATGGACATATTTTACTGTTTATAAATGCCTGATGATGGTCATAAAAGGCCAAAACATGTAGCAAAATTACATCTTAATAAAACTAATTGATTTTTAAATCTATCAGTTATTTATTAAAAGTATACAATTGTTGTGATTGACAAACATATTTACGTGGTTCTGTTGTTCTTTTTCCATCCATTTTATTTAGCCTTCATGTAAAAGTATGCACAAATTATGGCCATCTGTAGATTAACACCATTTGTCAGGCACTGAGAATTAATGAGAGTTAATCATAAATCTTACTGCATAACACAAACATAATTTACCTTGGAGAAACAAGCTCCCATATGGACCTTTGGAGTAGGAGGAAGTCCATTACTGACAGGGCGTGGAGGAGTATGCCGTTTCTTCTCCCTTCGTCTAGGTGGAACTGGTGGAGTGTCGGAGAGAAGGTCAGGCTCTGGCCCTGAACCCAAGGCATCACCTGAAATTTATTGACATTTCTAACAGTCAAATTCAGTTCTCTCTCTCACGCATGCACGCACACACACATATTTTTCAGTTCTATTACAAAATTACTTATCTCACACCTGACCAAAACTAAACCCCAAAGCTATTACATAAAAGTTGTACCATCTGAGCCACCAGGTGATTTTTTTCATGAAGTTCAACTTCAGATATTGTATTTAATTGTAAAAATACCTTTCCTACAATCATTTGTCTCATGTTACTTTCACTAAACCTGTAATTTTAAGGCACTTTCTCTATACTAAAACAAGACAGAAGCAAACAAAATATTACAAGAGGGTCAGGGACAATTGGTCTCAAACAGAGTACTTAAGTGAGTCACAAAAATGGCAAAAGGCAATGAACAAATAAATAATTATAGGTAACAGATCTGTATCACTTCCATGACATATAAATACAGAATTTATAATATGTACATGTTGCAATATTTTTTATAACCATCCATTCTCAATATGGAATGCATCAATTTTTAATCTTTAACCACCACTTTCTCATACTTGAGACATAAATGCAGCATATTACAGGTTTAAAAGATAGTATAAGCACCATATATGAGAATAGGATTTCTTCCCTAATTTAGAATCTGAAAAAAGGGGTAATATTATAACTGCAAACACAATAAAGCAATTCACTAAAAAATGTCACCAGTATTAAAACCCGGCTAATATTTTTAGCATGAGCAGCAACGCTATCAGTCATGAGTTGAACTGTATTGCTATTTCTGAAGTATATTATATACATCAGGGGGAAAAACTGGACTCACCATTAGAACTGAGCAAATAAAAATAATTTACACAATTTCAAAAGGATTATCTAATATGCACATAAATACAGTACTTCAACTGGCCAGAACAAGCAGAACATATTTATCCTGCAACATAAGAAACAGTGCTATATGACCATAGCTAAACAGTACGACTCCAAACAAATGCGCAACAGAGCTTCAATCATGCAGATTTAAAGCATTTCTATTTCTATCATTTTCACTGATGTAGGTATATTCATACATCGCACTCCTCCTAATTATTATAAATTTGCTGTAAATTCATACTTGCACTTACCATTGGTGCAAGAGTCCTTGTTGGATGCACCACTATCACTAAGTGATCGCTGACGCTGGCCGTTCAATGTCAATGTTGCCACTAGTCCAAACATTTCATCCATTGAACTATGCCTTCTTGGGGAACCTCCCGCCCCTGAGTAATGGAGGGTAAGTAACATATATTTAAATAATAATTTAATTTAAAATGTCTCTTCAAAAGGCAGGGTGTTCGAGAAGATACTTTAGAATTGTGATGTATATATAGGGAAATGTCTTACATGCACCTCTTGCAAAGAACAGTTCACAATATACATGTAAAGGATCTTCAATTTATGATGCTGTAAACGTGCTTTGAAAGCAAGCTGGCCAAAACTAGTATGGTACAAGCAAAAATGTCATTCATTTTTGTGCAGTGTCACACACAAGATAATACAAACTAGAAAGTTTCTTGTTTCTTCATTATAATGGACTGGCATGGAAAATAAGGTGTATAGCACTCAGCAGTGTGTGTTCTTAGTAAAAAATTATGCCAACACATCATCCTATATAATATGCTGCCACAGATAAAACCAAAGATTTCCTGGTGTTAATGTTCCTAGGAAGCTAACAACACAGAGACTGGTAAAAAGTTTCAAGTTTCATAGTATGGGATCAGTGTTGCATAAGAATAGAAAAATGGGTGTACTGACAGTAGAAAAATCAGATGAAATTGGAGCTTCCTTAGAAATTCAAGAAATCTCTGAAGAGATTTGCTGCACAATATGGTGTGTCATTGGGATCTGCTCACGCATCAATGAGACTTAACGGCAATCACGTAAGATAGTTGCTGTTCAGAGACTCACTAATCCTGATACTGGCATTTCTGCAAACCCCAGTACTGTTTCTTTGTGACAAATCATGGCTGCCTTTAGATAGCTATAAATATCCTCTTTGTAACATTATGGTTGGAGTCTGGTGCGCTATTACCTCCAGGATAAGAATCAGGCAACTCTCTCTTATTTAAACCATAAATTCTGAATGTTATGTAAATTTAATACATGGGCCTTTTTAACAAGAACCTACAGTCTAAGGAAAGATGTACAGTTACTTCACACAAGACAATGCTGTTACAGCTCAAATGGCTAAACAATTGATGGGAAAATTAAAAGAAGTAGTTGGTAACCAGGTTACTAGTCAGTGGCATAAGCATTTACCAGACTTAAACCTATGGAGATGCTGGAACACAAGGATTATGCCAACAACCTACACATGGTACAAGAATCAGAGGACAATATTTAATGAGTGATTCTGAATGTTTACCAAGAACTTGAGTATTTTGAAATGTGTTACTGAGATGCAAAGCGTCCTGCAAGCAGAAAAATGTCATCTTGAATATCTGTTGTTATTTAAGGTAAGAACAACCAGTTACAAGAAATACTTGTAGTTTGCTGCTACTAGTAAGAAGAATGACTCACAGTTTCTCAACTGTATTTAGTGGGGAAACCTCTGACAACCTTACACTGGCATGGCAGCATCATATAATGATATCCTTGTGTGCACAGACATGTTTGTTTGTGTAACAAAACAATATCATGTCCTTTTAAATACAAACTCTTGGCAACTGAATGAAACTGAAAGAAAAATCCAGAAAGAAACATTATAAGGCATACTAATTAATCTAAGGCCAAAAAATCCTTCTCTGCCATATTTTCATTTTTTTATATCACCATTTAGTCTCAAATGTGTGAAAAAATTTACTCATTTTGTGGACAAGTTGCCTAATATTTTTTACATTTTATCCTCATTTGGATTTAAACTGTTACGTTAAATTGCGCTACCTGCCAAATGACAAAATTATTGAAGAAATTTTCAGTATAATTTCTTAAGATACTTTTCCATTTGGATTCTGTAGGACAACTTAAAAAATGAAAACTGTATAGTTTAGAAGACTACTATGCATGTCACAATGAGATAATCTATTATGCTTGCAAAAATTATATCCTGTGCCAGTGAACTCCAAATATAAGTAACCATACTGGAAGAAAACACAAATTTTATGAACTCAAGAAAAAATATGAGGGATAGCAGACCTTGCCATGTTACTTTTGAAACAAACATTATGTTATAACTTCAAAAGAGTATATAAATTACATACTACCTTTTGAAGAAAATGCTTAACATAACGATACCTTACATGCTACTTCATCAAACACAAGCTGCTGGGTTTGAGAATCGAATATTCTACACAGCTTCTTCCAACAAAAAACATGTTCTTCTGGAAGACATGAGTATCAAATGAGGTATATCATTTACGACTGAAAGTATTAGTTCCACTGACTCCTCAAGTTAAAACACATTCTAGAACTAGTAAAACTAGTTTTATTCCTAGTAGAAGTTGTAATCCAGTTTATCCTCTTTCTTTTACAACTTCAATCAAGAAACAGGCTATGATGAATCTTGTAGGGGTAAATTCAGTTTAGTGTCTTTTTATGTATGGACTTTGATTTGTTTCTTGTGAAGAAGCCTGAAATTCCTAATTTAACTCGTTTAAAAAAGATACAAATTAAGTATCTCTTCTTATGTGAACACATGTAATTTTATTAAGGACAGAGTTACTGTGGGTGGTATTTCTATATGTATAATGTTTTAAATAGTTAAGAAAGTTCACTTATAAGTGGACTTATTATATCATTATTTATTTGTCCAATAATGGATGCTTGTGCCATTGAACAGTTCTGTTATGTGGATCTTATGTATTTGATATTTTCATAACAGGTAACAGAATGCATTGCTTGAAGTTATGGAATATTATCCAGCATAGGTTATTCAGGTGTGCATAGAGAAAATTGTTCGTCATTCATTTAGCTATGAAAATTTCAATTACATTTAAAGGATTTTTATGTATGTCATAAAGCCAGTAAATATTTCACCTGGTATTTAAATTTATCCAGCTGTTTTTTTTTCTATGTGGTTTTGTTCATTAACTGTTGTAATTGAAATCATGGGGTCTCAACTGATATTAGTCTTGTCATTCTTAATGAGTGAAAGTGCTATTTGTGTATATTATGCATATCATTTCTTCTCCATTTTCTTCATCTTCACCTTTTTAAGTTACGCTCACCAATTCATGAGACNCTAGTTCTAGAATGTGTTTTAACTTGAGGAGTCAGTGGAACTAATACTTTCAGTCGTAAATGATATACCTCATTTGATACTCATGTCTTCCAGAAGAACATGTTTTTTGTTGGAAGAAGCTGTGTAGAATATTCGATTCTCAAACCCGCAGCTTGTGTTTGATGAAGTAGCATGTAAGGTATCGTTATGTTAAGCATTTTCTTCAAAAGGTAGTATGTAATTTATATACTCTTTTGAAGTTATAACATAATGTTTGTTTCAAAAGTAACATGGCAAGGTCTGCTATCCCTCATATTTTTTCCTGAGCTCATAGAATTTGTTTTTTCTTCCAGTATGGTTACTTATATTTGGAGTTCACTGGCACAGGATATAATTTTAATTAATTAGAAAGTTCTTGCACAAGTAACAGGCCTACCTAGCGACGAAATAAAGTTACAAATGTTACAGAAGACTGTTCTCTTCCATTCTCTTTACTTTGTCTAATTCATGGAAACTGCTGAATGATTGCATTTGTACATAGCTGAAGGCTTCAATATTTCTGTTACAACTATCACACACAATTCAAGGCAAAAGGGTTAGCTGCAAAAAATTAATATTACAATACATAACCTGAAAATTAAAGGTTATATACTTCAAACTTTCATTCTTGATATCCAGTATTATTCTGCCATGCAGTATGTTCAACATATATTTGTGCAGATTCATTGAAAACCGAGGTGCAATGCTGGTGCTTAAAATGTGCAATATTTCTGTCATGGAAGCTAGCGGCATCATTGACATCTGCAAGCCTTGCACGTTGTTAGTCATAATGTAACTATTTCACAAGGCATATTATAAGCTGTCATGCTTCATATCCATCAGTCCTACCCTTACAACACTTTGAATTCCACAGAAAGTGAAGTAATACCATAGCCTCCATGTTAAACATGTGCAGAAGTCCTGTATCTAACTCAGACTCTACAGAGAGATCACATACAAGTAATGTAGTGTTTACAGTCATATGATTATCAAGTATTGTTTCTTAAGTATTCTGTACTTAAATTCTGCACTTACATAATGAAATTATTCTTATAAAAATAGAATAGAACATACATTTCTGATATTAAAATTAGATGCAAAAGAACCATGATACATTTTGCAATGGCAACTATTTAGGATAATGCATAAAATTAATATACTCCTTCTGCTTCAAAGTACAGTTTATGTGGATTGAGGCAACTATCAACCCCTCCTTAAAATGCTAATGGGACCAGTCAGGTTGAGATTAGTGATATATAGTAGAACCTCGCTTAACGAGCACCTCTTATAATGAGTAATTCACATAATGAACAAAACAAATTGTAAAAAAAATGACTCGCTTAACGAGCGATGTTTCACATAATGAGTGACGAGAGGGGAAGTCCCAGATTGTGCACTTGCTACATCAGTCTGTGTTTAGCACTTGTTCTGCTAGCATCTTAGTGTCGCTTGTGATCACACATTTTTCCAAACTTGTGCTCAGACATACTATTTGTGATTTTTTTTTGTGCAAAGTTTAATAACCCTTGTAAAAATGTCCCCGAAGAAAAAGCCACAAAAAGACAGCCATAAGAGAATAAAAATAACCGTAGAAATGAAACACAAAATCATTGAAAAGCGAGAACGAGGTGTGAGCGTGGCTGATCTAGCACGCACATACAATCGGCCTACATCAACGATTTGCACGATTTGGAGTTGCATTGTGTTTCACAGCAAGAAGTTGTGGAGGAGAGTTTGTCAGTGGAGGTAACAGCAAAGCAACAATCTTCTGGCGCAATATGAGAAATGCTGAAAGCATGGGAAACTGTTGCATCGTACATTGAGAAGCATCACCTTAATAAGGCAGTGGCTATGCGCTCTACAAATTTATTTAATGATAATGCTGTGTCGCATTTTCATCAAATTTCGAAGCGTCGGCAAAAACAAATGTCTCCAGAGAGCTTTCTAGTAAAAAAGAATTAGATATGTATCATGAATAATAAACTAATTATTTTGATTTTTTTTTTCCTGCAAATCGAATTCGCATTCCAGGTTGATTCATTCCACAAGATGAAGATGATTCACGCTCCTTAACAATGCATATATAATTTTCTTTGAATAAACGTTATACATAACATTTTTTGAGTATTTTTTTTTTGGCATGGAACACATTACCTTAGTTTACATTAATTTATATGGGAAAAATTGTTTTGTTTAATGAGTGTTTTGCATTACAAGTAAGATTCTGGAACGAATTATGCTCGTTAAGCAAGGTTCCACTGTATAACCTGAAAATCTATAATGATAAGCTTGCAAACAAAGAAATAGAGATATCAGAAATAGAGATTAATTGAAACTAAGAATAGAACACAGTTGATCCTACTACATGCTGTAATGCATATGCAAAGCATCACTGACATTTGCCATGAACATGCAAAGTTACAGCAAAATGTACACATTATGTGAAAACCAGGAACCCATATGGGTCACAAATTATGTAAGTACCTTCTGTTAGCAAAACATGCCAAAGCAGGATCTTATTCACACTGTATGCTAACAAGAAATTGTAACACCAAACAATTTACACTAAAAACAGATCTCATTAATATGACATTAAAATGTTAATTATTACTGAAAGCAATGAACATTCTAAAATCATGGTGGTCACTATCCAAAATATAGACAAAAATTACACTTCTATTATATCTCACATTACAGAGAAACTTCACCTACCAAAAGTACTGCGAAGCTAGTAAATTAATAGTTATAGCAATGAAGTATTTACTTAAAGAAAAAGATTCAGAGAACAACTACTGTCCTTACATTACATCAAGGCTACTCATTACTAGCTCACAGTTTACAATGTGTCAAAATTTGAGGGATTAATTTTGTTAGACAATTAAAATTGTTTGATACACCAGAGACATGGGTCAAACTATCAGATACATTAATTTACATAGTGAGTTTTATGCAATGAGTTAGAGTTGCTCCATTAATTCAGTACGAGTAAGATATATATAAACACAGGAGACAGGGGGACAGCTGTACTGTGTGGATGCACTATTGTAATAGTGCAGTGTGAAGGGACAAAGTTTAAATGTGAGCCCTGAAACTCTGTGAGATAATTATCTCACAGATTTATAATTTATAATAGACATTCATAAACATGTTCAACGATACAATATGGCAGCAAAATGAAATATGTATTTAGTTCTCAATTTAATGACAACAATTATGAACCACTATACCTAAACATGTGAAATTTTATATGGGGACAGATCATAAGTGTACCCACAAATTCTAACTGGAACATTTTTTATATTCTTAATAGTTAGAAACATGGTTACAGTGCAAAAACTGACATTTTATCTCACAAATTTAATGTAAGGGAATCTGTATTAGTGAAAATTATGCATGAGAAGGGAATTTTATAATTACAAATTTACAGCCTTAGAATAGCTTGAAGCATCTGAAGGAAAGCTGCTCGTGTAAATTTTCAGAAAATATCGTTATACATGTACAATGCAAAAATTCTGTGTCTGTTTCCTTTTTCATGCTAGAATTATAAATCAGTGAGAAAACATAGTAAAATTAGTTGAGTAAACCCCAAATTCCAGTATTTATCTAGTACAGGGAGGAATAATTACCTGTGCTTTAATTGATAGCTATGAGTTTTGACCTCATAAAGTGCAAAAACTGGAAACACTTGTCAATTTTCTGAGCATGAAAGATTTCAGAATTGCTGTATTGTCATTCCATTTGACGCACTACATTTGAACCGTAAGACAATAAATGATACTAAGAGAGTACAAAGACAATGACAGAGCTAATTGGTGTTTTATGACCTCACAGAATTAAGATGAACTATGAAATGAAAATAACTGAGAATATTCAGTCATGGGTCACAATGCCCTTATAAAGGAACAATCACGATCATATAAATCCTCACATAAAAGTCAGTGGAAAAAAAAGTATTCACTGTCTTTATTATAATGTAAACTGTCAACAGTGCATAACAAAACAGCAGCACTCTGATAACTGAGTATGTCTGCCACACTGGAAACAGTGAATTTCTATTAGTAGGATGATGTGAAAAGCAATAGGAAGATAAAGGGATGAGAGGGTGTGAAAGGAGAATTATCTTGTTTCTTACAAAGTTCTACGTCAAATGAAGTAAGCTATATGTAAGCAGATGAAAGGAAGAGCCCATAAATAGCAACACATACTCCAGCATAGCACATATGAGACAGACCATATACAGTATGCGCCAAAATATGCAGTACTGAAACTCGCGCATCTCGAACGTGCATGAGTGTTTGTTGACAGGGCATCACTCCAGCCACACGTGTTCCCAGTAGTGAAAAGTAAGTTGTGTTGTGCAGTTGTTGTTGGAAATGGGTCTCTCGATGGAGGAAAAAGTATTCATAGTTGAGTATTATTTCCGCTCATATGGAAGTGGTCGCCAGACAACTCGCTTCCTTGGTTTTGAGCAGCCAGATGTTATTGTCCAGAAACTGCTGCATAGTACATGTGTGACGATATGGTGTGCCGTCTCAGCACATGGTATATTAGGCCCCTATTTCACTGAGGATGAGGAAGGCAATGCTCTTACCGTCACCCAAGAACGCTACAGGGACATGGTGATCAGACCATTTCTTCAGGATTTGAGAAGGTTCTGTCGTGCAAGGGGCCTTCACATGAATAGACAGTGGTAGCAACAGAACGTCTTTTCATTTCAGTACTGAATCTTTTGGCGCATACTCTATTTATGACAATAAGCATACTGGCATGCACAGCTAGCTGTATTATGTTAGATGTGCACTCCTACATATAATAGGACATCTTTCTCATACATGAACACATACATAAAAAGCACCTGCTTCTGAGTTCCATGCATAAATTACTTGCACACTATACTGTATGATTACCTGAAACATGACTAAAATAGTTGATACCCCTGTGAATGTCACATTGGTGCTCATGACTAGTTGAATTTGCTGAGTCCCCAACTGGCAGTGTTGCTCTGAAACAATGGCACATGCTGCATATTTCTCAAAACGTTACTATTTCAAATACTGAGACACTACAGTAGTATATCAAAATTCAATTGTGATAAAATGTATACAAAGCAACTTTCATAGGTATGTACTGGAAAATAAGAATATGGCCAAAAGTGATGAAGCTTCTAACACAACTTGAGAGATTGTACAGATTTTTTTTACTAGAAACATACATCTGTAAAGAAAGTGTACATCATAATTAATCACATGTCTGGTACAGGCATAATTAATGAATGAATCATGTGAATGCACACGTGCATGCACACACACACAGCATTGTAGTCCTAAAGACACATAAATAGAAATGGTGAAAATTTCTGCTGGTAGAAACTGGTTCCACTGCTTCACAAGCTGAAAAACACATAACAACAAAGAGCAGAAATTCTTCACTGCCAGAATCTTCTTCACCTAAAGTTTGTATGCTGTGCCCAAAATTATCAATGGTGTAGTTCTTCAGGTTGTTATAAAGGTTAAGTGATTTGTCCATCTCAACTGCAGAATGTTAAACACAGTAGCAATGGGCAATCCAGAATACAATGCAGAACAGTAAGTAAGGTCAACATTGCATTCTACTGTGAAGATGAAGGCAGGTTCCTCCAAAATGCTGGTAACCATCTACCAAGTCACACACTGACACATCCCACAAAATGCAATCTTCACAAGTCCTTATAAAATTTCCTGCAAGATAATTAAGCTAAAATTGTATATGTTACTGAACAAACACATGCACATACCTCATTTCTGAAGGTCATCAAAGTTAAGTGCACGCGTTCCTTGAACTACATCATCTCTAAACCTACAACTACACCCAGCAATAAATGGTAAGTGCAAGAAAACAAAAATAAAAATTGCAAAGATTCAAATACCTGTATTATCCTTACATGTTCTACTGATTACATTATATTTAGTAACATATTCTGTTATTAGACAACACTTTCCTGTATATAAGTAATGAAATAAATATATGAACATTATCTTTAACAATTTTGTCTGGAGAATATATACTGAACAGTTCAATTCTCTGTAGTATCACAAACAGAGATATAGCTAATTATAAAAAGACTGGAAAGGTGTAATATATACCAGAATACACAGTTTCCATAACCATACCTTGCCACATGAGCCATATCTAGAGGATTAAGTGAGCACTGATCACTGAGATCAGATCATCATTGTCCCCTGTTGTTGTAGTCATCATCGCCACAGCCACTGCCCCCCCCCCCACCGCCATTCTTCAAAGATGTTAGCATATATAATTTCAGGATCCTATGACATAGCATTAGCATCACTCCCACCTCTTATGCATGCGTGTGGGTGTGTCTGTCACGTTTGCATTACTGATTGTAAGAAATTAAAAAGTATGAGTTTTATGTAGCCTCCAAAGGCATGATGTCCACACAAAATTTAATAAATATCTGTTGGTTGAAATTTTATCATGAGACATTTTTGTCTCCATGTCAGTCAAGGAATTATGGTGGAGTATGTAATGATGAATATCCATACCATGCTGCAACATTACATTCAACTTTAACCATATATTCTGCAAAAAGTATGTGTTGGTTGAAATTTCATCAAGGACATTTTTGCCCCCTCTGTATAGTCTTTGATAATGTACAGGGGATGGACAGAAATATGGAAACACCTAATGAAATGCATGCCTGAATTGAAGCCTTTATTTTAGCGACGTTTGTAGGTTACGCTGTCGTATTTCGCCAACACCACTACCTGTACAACCTCCACAATACGTTGCAAGCTTCATTTGTCGTCGAGACAGTGTTCTGTGCAGTTTTTTGTGTATCATGTCAGAGCTAACAGAATTCGAATGCGGGCAAATTGTTGGGGCCCATATGGTGGGTGCTTCCGTAACCGAGGTAGCCCAGGTTTTTGGTGTTTCACGAGGCACAGTATCCAAGATTATGACCGCATACAGGAGGACTGAAAAACCGCATCTGATAAAAACCAGCTTGGACGGAAATGTGTGTTGAGTGATTGAGACAGACGAACATTGCGTAGGATTGTGACAAAAAATAAGAAGACTACAGCTGCAAAACTGACTGCTGAACTGAATGTCACACTCACAAGCCCTGTCAGCACCAAACAGTATGAAGGGATCTCCACAAGCAGGACATTTCTGGATGAGCTGCAATTCCAAAGCCACTCATCAGTGAGCAAAATGCCACTAAGAGGAGAGTGTGGTGCCAAGGTCATAAAACTTGGACTGTGGAGCAATGGAAGACGGTCATTTGGTCGGATTAGTCCACCTTCACACTGTTTCCGACTTCTGGCTGACTTACATCTGGAGAACGCCATCCCAAGCTTATGATCCCGATTGTTCACTGCCAAGAGTGAAACATGACAGGGGTTCGATCATGGTATGAGCAGCCATATCATAGTATTCTGTCAGACCCATCATTACCCTGCAAGGTGACGTCACTGCCAATGACTGTGTGACCATTCTGGGCAACCAGGTCCATCCCATGGTGCAAACTTTGTTCCCCGATGGTGATGCCATTTACCAAGACGACAATGCCCGTTTTCACACAGCTCACATCGTCCAGGACTGGTTTTCTGAGCACGAAGATGAAGCGTCAAGTCTGCCACGGCCCCCACAATCATCAGATATCAATATTATTGAGCCTTTGTGGTCTGTTTTGGAGAGCAATCTGTGTGCGCGCTATCCACCTCCATCATCGATAACAGAACTTATCTTGTTTTTCAGGAAGAATGGTATAAGATTCCCTTGCAAATCATACGGCATCTCTATTTATCCATTCCAAGGAGACTGCAGGCAGTTCTGCAAGCCAGAGGTTGCCCTACACCATATTAGTCACGGTAATGTGTTTTTTGTTGGGTGTTTCCATATTTTTGTCCATCCCCTGTACATACATTGCCAACTTATGACAAACATATGGAACTGTTTGTATAATTCTTCCAGTTGCCAGACAGTAGAAGTTCATTCATTACTAAAAGTAAATGACACTCCAATATTACAAATTATTCATGATGTTAATAGCATTAGTTCATTACTTTCATTACTATTAAACACGCTTCTAATAACAAGCAGAATTTATCTTTAAAATCTAAAAGTTGGCTAGAAATACAGAGTATATTCGAAGGTTGCATTTTTGTTACTGGTGATCTACAACTTTAATGCTATTATATAGAACTATATGCAGTTACAAAAGGAATGCAGAATGAATGTACACAAACAAATGAAACCCATGAAAACATGCCTTTTGACACCTGAATAAAGTCTATGAAGTTATTTACAGACTCAGTTTAGATTTAAAGTAACAGAGAAGCTATACTGCTGAAAACACACAACCACGTAGGTCATTTCAGAAATAATGCACACAATTTTTGGTTTACATCCATGTTTTTTTTTTAATATCTCTTTACAGTCCTTCAATATAGTCCCCCTGCTTCTCAATGACCGAGTCCCAAAGTGTGGGAAGCTTTACTATTCCATCCAGGACACCATCTTTGTTTATCAGTCGAATGGCTCGGGTAACTGCAGCAGAATGCTCTTCTAAAGAGGGAAAACGACGACCTCGCATAGGTTGTTTCAACTTTGGGAATAAGTCGAAGTCTGGTTGACTTGTGTCCGGGCTGTAGGGAGCATGAGGCAACACCTCCCAACCATACTTGGGCAGCTTTTCTGTTACGACATGTGCGGGCGAGCGTTGTCATGGAGAATGATCGGCCCAGCCTCGAGCAAACTGAGGTCGGTTTTTGTGCATTTTTCTGCACAGATTTTGCATAAAGTCATGATAATAAACTGCTGTGACACTTTTCCCACATGGAACTCTGTCTGTCGTGATGATTCCTTGGTGATCATAAGCAAAGATCATCATTTGTTTGACCTTTGATTGAGAACGTCGAAATTTTTTGGTCATGGGGAAGATGGACCTCTCCACTCGTTGGACTGTGATTTCAGCTCGGTTCAAAGCCTCTAACCCACGTTTCATCAATAGCGACAAGTCGATACAAGAATGCTTGACCTTCAACGTTGAATCTTTGTTTCTGCAAGGTTGCAATATCATGGCATTTCTGCTTCTGCTCAGCAGTCAAGCAGTGAGGGACCCAACGTGCAGAAATGTTTCTCTTCTTTAAATCATTTGTCAGAATTTGGAATATTGGCGTTGGTGGAATCCCCATGGTTTCAGAAAGTTCCTCACATGTCGCATGACAATATTCTTCAAGAGCATCTGACACAAGTTTCACACTTCGTTCATCTGTTGATGTTTTCGGTCTTCCTGGCCTTGGACCATCGTTTATGCTCACACGACTGCCATGAAAACGACTAGCCCAGCGAGAAACTGTACTACAGTCCACTGTTAACTTGCCACAAACTTCACTTAAAGCACTGTGGATTTGTCAGGTTTTTTCCATGTAAAGTTTCGATCTTAATGTACGACCTTTGATCTTCAACAGTCACAATACCTGAGAACTGTGCAGGCTCCATTTCTAACTCATGTTATTTAAGAACAGAGTAGATTATAAATGAAACAAAATAATGCACTTCTTTCTCAAGCCCTGAACTGTAACTGATGTGAGGCTCACTGTTGTTGCATCATCTAATCTGCAGTGTTGCAAACCTGTGCATTATTTATGAAATGACCCATGTAAATACATTTTTAACACCTCTAAACTTCATGTTATATGGGTTTAAATTTAAATGCCAGACTTAAATAATTAAAAAAATATTACAATAATCCAGAGTAAAAAAAGCACTTGATGACATATGGTTAAAATACTATTCATTTTCTGAATCATTCCTGTAGTTTCCAAACCTGGACAAAAATCCTACCATCATAATTAACAATTCAGAAACAATATGATTAATTAACTTTAGCTCCTCTATTCATATCCATTCACACAAGCCATTCTTTGAAGAGCCATCCCACTCAGTGCCTACAGAAGATAAAAATGAGAGGATCTTGTTCCTGTGAATAAAAAGAAATGCCACTTAAACTATACCAGTATATCTGTATATACTGGTACAGTTTAAGTGGCATTTCTTTTTAGGGACATATATATATATGTCCCTAAAAAGATTCTATTCAGTATGGCACAATGCTGTCAGGAGCATAATTTTCCCAACAAGTTCACAAGAAAAAAATTATCTGATATTCACCACTGTCATACTGATATGTATGCTGGTCATCTGCGTTAATGCATTACAGACTAATTAATCATGGCATTTCGTGGACAATTAATTACAGAAGCTTCTACCACATCTTATGGAACAAAATATCTCACAACAAATATCACTAACAGCAGATTAGTATTAGCAGTTATTAACCAGAAAAAGGCCAACACACTGCAAACAGTTACAATAAACTCACAAAGAAACTATTCCTTCAAGCTTCCTTTTCATCCAACTTTATCAACCACAGGGTATATGAAAAATTATACAAATGTCACAGATGTACTGAAGCAGTCCAGTGACAACAGAATTTACTGACCATATATTACACTTACTTTTTTAAGACATAACAGTGTGACTTGGTAATTACTATATATATTTTTCAAACTTCATTGACCGGTACTTATCAATAGGAAAAAAGAAAAACTCTTTAACACTGTACATACTTGTGCTAACACATGGACTGATTTTCGAACATTTTAAGAAAATATTTTCCTTCTCTTCTTCCTTATCTAACAAAACTGTTTCTGTGGAATAATACATATTTATATGTAAAGAATAAATCTAGTCTGTTTTAAATTTAATTTCATGGTTTAATGTATACAAAACTCTTCCTGAAATCTGATTACAAATTATTGTATTCTTACAATTAAACTGTATGGCATAAATAATTATTTCACATCATCTCACATTTCAAAAAATGCCAATATTTACTATTACAACAAAATCAATTTCAAACTTCAGAAAGGAACTCAGCCAGGCATATAGGTACCAATCTGTGAAATAGGTACTAAACTAACTGGCTCCTGTATCTAAGCATCATGCCCTGAAGTCTACTTCAGTAAAAACTATGTCAACTATATCAATCTCGATGAATGGGTTGCAACTCCATGTTCTTTGTTTCATTCTTGGCTTGAAATCAGAAGGGCCTAAGGGATCATGATGTAATTCTATGGCACTATCAATTACATGGTAAGCTGGAAGTAAATATCTTCACAAAAGTACTGCATGTATACCAATGTATTTCAAAAATGAGAAAAAATTATTGTTAATGTAACAGTATGCAAATTTTGAAATTTTATGCGTTAACTCCAGTACCATTTAGCAATAACTGTAAGTAATTAACCAGAACACGGTAACATATATGAACATGAAAACAGAATACCCAGTTTACACTAGACTTGACATACACAAATCTGACTACATGAAAACCTTCAAAAATTACTTGTATACATCTTTTTTTTTTTAATTCTGCTACCTGGTGTTCTACCCTTATTTACTACAGCAATATTTTTAACAAGCAACCACTACAAATTAAGGTATGCTAGCTACAAGTCAATATTAAATTATTCTCATACCTGTAATGTACCATCAAATTATACACGACAAACAACATATACTTATGGTAATTTCTGACAGACACACACACACACGATGATTCAAAAACTTTCTGCACTTTATTCGCACAATCAAATTTAGCATGAAAGGTTACAGGTGTATCACTTTTCTACAGTCTCCCTGTGCCCAATGCACCTTGTTCAGTGCCCATAAGCTTCTTAATGCCATTAGGAGAAATCTGTTTCAGCTAAGTGCAAAGCCAATCACGTGCTTCCTTTGTCTCATAATCTGCAAATTGATGACCTCTGACAGCCCCCTCCAGAGAATCAAATAGATGTAAATGTGAAGGTGCAAGGTCTGGACTGCATCCTCGAAGGTCGAAAACTTCAAATTTCAGGTCCCAAATGGTTTCCCTAGTAAAGACGGCAGCATGAAGTTGAGCACTCTTGAGAAAGATGACAACACCTTATGATAATCTTCCTTGTTGTTTTGTGTGAATGGCTGGCCTCCATTCATTTCTTAATATATCAGAATACCTTCCACTTGCTAGTGTTCTTGAGAGTTGTATCTCTGGCTTGTTCTTGTTTGTGACACTAGTTGCTCTGGGTGGGCATCCTGAACATTCTGAATCAGTTACACTTGCTCTGCCTTTATTAAACATGTCTCCCCACCCATACTTACTCCAGTGAGGTAATGCACTGTTCCAAAACTAAACATATAAACACATCTGAACTTCAACCTCTTTAACTCCTTCTGCTCGAAAAGAAAAACCATGGCCCTCTGCTCTTCTTTGGTGTGAAATGAAAATGGTGCAGCCACATTCTTCACTTCACTCCATCCAAGTTCATATCAGGCAGTGTATTGACACGTTGTTTCATAGAGTTCAATGCTACCAGCTGTCATCTCATACCTTCTGCAGACATAAATGAAAGTGTGCATACTTTTTTAATTACTTTTGTAAATTCAACTTATGCAAGAATTTGTTGAACAACACCCTTACATAAGTTAGACACTGTCTGTACACTACTCTAACTTTATGAAATATTTATGCATATGTTTTGGTATATTACCTTGCTTCTGTGTGATTTCCCTGCTTAATTCAAACACAAGCATACTACATATTTGTGGAGAAACAATTTAAAGCAACAGTACTAAACACAGACTCTCATAGTAAAATTTAAATGAAAATGTATGACTCATTCAAGGTATGTAGAAACAAACATATGAAGCAGTACTATTTAATACCACTCTTCTTGTTTGCCTACACACTTCATTGTGATGCATTGGAGATGAAAATGCTTGAAATTTCTCGCAGTTCTGAATTTCCTCCCATTCTCTTATATTCATTCATACATATAGGATATATTAATCTGAGGAGTAATGCCAATCATCTGAAGTAAACTAAACACAATCATTAACGATATGAAAATTAGATATGAACTTCCATGTTAAATCACTCAAAACACTAAATGTAAAGAAGCTAATAAATAAAAACACTTAGTTATTTTTGTTCTATGTTAATCTTCACATCCTTTGGTATGATTCGCCATTTGTACTTCAAAAGCAATATTAATTTATCATAACAAATGTCACAAAAAGCACCAACTGAAACCTACAACTTAGTGGCACTCATTTGCATGATTTACCTGCAGACATAATCTGACATGAAGTTTAAAATGTGTTTGCCATCACTGCCATGTGAAGAGGAAAATTAAAGACTTGTGTAGTGTGAGCAATATGTAGCCAACATAATCCAACGACGTAAACCACAGAGAACTACAATACACAAAAACAAATTAAATAAGGGTGCTGGAAAATATTCCCCACAAACTGGCAGGGAAGAGTTCTACATTTTAAACATACATTGCTTCAAAAGTATCATGTTTCCACAATAATACAGAAGTACAATTTCTTAAACTGGAACTAGCCTGTTGTCATCACTTCAACATTTAAATTTTAAAACAACCTAGAGTACACTGTATATCATAAAGAATTGTACTGTCTCACAGTCCAGACAAACACGCTGATTTACACTTTATAAAAAACATGCATTTCCCTTCAAAACAATGTACTCTGCCAACTAAAGCTGATGCAAGCACAGTGCATTTAGTTTCCTTACATGTCCAAATATTACATCTGAGTCTGAGCAGTTACCACTCCAGCTGACTGCCACCTCAACACTTTCTGCGACAGCATGGAATTTGACACTATTCCTCTAATTACTACAAGGCAGACTGTTCTGCTTCTTTAACAAAACACATGTAGCACGATAACATGTAGAACTTTAGCCATCTATGAGAGAAGAACAGAACCAAACTGCAGTTCAAAAGCAAACTAGCAATAACTACCATGTTGATAACTGAGACTTCTTGAACTGTACTTGTGACACATGACAAAACTGACAGCATGCCACTTCAACATAATATATGCCTCAACAGTGAAAATGCAAGCAATATGAGATAAATGTATATGGACAAGAATGTAAGAAAAATATATTACTGATTGAATTCACCATCAAAATACACTCTCCAGCACTTATACACAAGAACTTTCAGCTATTCTTATAATTCAAGTATCACCTATTATTCCTGCATGTACTGTATATCAGTATTAATATCATTAAAGGAGTGATCCAGCCTCACAAATACATAGGTAATGACAAATGTTCTTCTATGCTATAATACCACTTTAAAAATGGACTTTAAATTTTAAAATGTGGATATTCCTATTACTGGTTTACAAAATTTCAAACTTTGACAGTTTTAATTTTAGAGGGCATAAACTCCTTGTTTCTTAGATGCAGATCAACTGTTATGCACAGGAAGTAATTAACCTACTTACTGTTGTGAATACAAGTCTTCCTGTGCAGACAGTTGGTGTACTCGGTTTCCCCTAATTGAGAAAAGAAAGGAAGTATGATAAATTTAAAGTACTTTCAGAAACTGTTATTTCAGAAAACCATATATGATAGCAGGGGAAAGTGAAATATACCTGCACATATGAAAAGCAATCTATTTTCTTACAGCTAGAAGAAACCTGGAGGCCTAAATACATTTTAGGTTATTTAAAATCCAACTAACATGTTTCTCAGTTCATTTCTGGTCATAATTCTTTTACTTCTGCAACATGTAGATTTTGACATCACATTTCTCTAGATTGGAAGTTTACTTTGTTTATTTTAAGAGAAAGCTTTCCTTTAATTTTTCATTCAGTGTTCAGTACTGCTGTCAGTATATCTACAAGGCAGAACATTACTCATGAATGTCTTCTTTTAACAAATAAAATATCTGTTCATCAAGTGAAGTTAACTGCTCTTGCATTTTTCACTACGAGGAAATGTAGTAGTACTCTTTGACAATAAAAGAGTCTCTAACGTGGCTAAATGTATTGCTCTAACCCAACAGTTAATACTGTCTCATGTAAACTTATATTTCCCAACATGCTTCTTCCACCCTTTAGGAATTAAATCTCTCAATCAAATTTCCATACAACACATAAAAAATGTTTGTGACTGTTTGCTGTAATTTCTAAATGCACAGAACTGCAGTGCCATCAACAAAATATTTATACTAAGCACTGGAAATCTGTTACAAACAAACATCAATGCAAGTAGGAATACTCTAATGGTGATGGATTGTTAACCACAATCCCAACTGCCAAACTGGAGATCAACTCATGTTGACCATTTCTGTATCCATTGGTGTTTAACTATGTAAGGATTTATGGAATGCTGAATAAATGAATGAATGAAATGAACTCCTTACTAAGAGTCAATGATTCCTTATTCAACATACATGCAGCTTTAAATTTTACCTTTGCTAGACATTTGACAAATGTATTGCCTATTAACATTACAATACTTATTTTTAACTACCTATTATATGCAATATTGAGATGGTAAATTGCAGAGCACACTTTTTCAAAACTGTTTAATACCTAACACCTGTTGAGGCAATAAATAATGGCATACCAATCTTCATAATACACAGAATTATAAAAATTATGAATAAAAACTTTTTCTCATAAATAGTTTCAGGAAAGATTAACTGCTTCTCAGTAATGAGTACTTATTACTGTATAAACTGAAGCAAAGCTAACATTTTTACAATATTAAACATGTAACTATTATAAATAGACCTGCTACATTTTTATCTTCTTTCTTCTACTGTTAACAGCTAAACTGATTTATTAGAAAATGCAACTTTATATAAAAAAACGGCTTTCATGTTGTCAGAAAATTTTTAATAGTGAACACAACATATAGCATAAGAGATGGTATAAACTTGCTGGTGGCAGCAAATTTTATTTCAATAAGTACCAATTTCATATAGCCCCTTCTCTCTTTTTAACAATTCATAAAATGACTTTACTCGTACTGTTAAGAATATTTGCATAGGAGAAACTCAGCTAATGTTGCAGTACAGTTCAGTTGCGGTGCCTAGAATACTGTTTTACCATGTTTTTTTTTCAGTGTAAATACTAATTTGATGAACTTGCTCTTGATGGCAATACTTATTGAACATATAAAACAATGAATCAAGTCATTACTTTGGCAAACCGAGTGGGGATCCATGAATTATTAAATAAGTGCAGCCAATACAAGTGCTTCCTACCCCTTCTTGAGGGAGTATGAAATATGCGTTAATACATACTGATTTGTAGGATTTCAGGTTCTCACAGCGGTCGTTATGAAGAGTACTATCTTGTGGGATATACTGCAATGCAAACTGTTGAAAGTCAACTGATGTTTCAGAGGAACATATCGTTTTCATCTTCAGAGTCAAATAAGCCGAGCAAGATATCGGCATAAAAGCAGGTGGAAAGCTCGTGGTCCTCCTTTCACACTGGTATCTTGCTTGGCTTATTCAACCCTGAATACAGATGTGATATCTGACTCTGAAATGTTGGCTGACTTTCAAAAGACTACATGGCATTATATCCCAGAATATACTACTTGTCACATCTTGATTTGTTTTCATCTGTGTGCATGACTGAGTTGAACACAGTATTTTTTTTTTACCAACATACACCCATTTTACACTCCTCAGCACATACAGACTCACTAGCATGCTTAGTCTTTGATGTAAGATTCTTAACTTGTTAGGGTGGATGCTACTTTCAAAGGTTGCAAAATAACAACTGCAAACACATGCTGCTGCTAAGTGTTGAAATACAACTGCTAAATTCATTACATTCTAGCATTTGTTTGTCATTGGCAAATGTCTTTACACGTTGTCCAGACTGCCATAATTCCAGGGACAAGAAAACTATTTTGAAAATGATGTGAAAATTGAAGTTATGCAAATTTTAGGGGACAGGCCTTGAAGGAATACAAGATTCCACCCGAACACTCTTACAGAAAGGATGTCAAGTTCATGCCAGCTAAGGATGTGCCATTTCTGAAAATGCTTGTAATACATATTTAGAAGCTATTATATAAAATATTATTTACAATTATTTAGGTTAAAATCTTATATCTAATATTTAAGATCTTGAACCGATATGGTTTGTGTCCGTGTCCTCTTTTGTAAAAACGGAAAGTTTGGGCTTTGTAATAGTAGTTCCTGAACATGTTGATTTTATTGGCTTCTGAAAATGGTCATAGCTCACCAAAATATGTAAAAGTAAGTAAGTAAAGGTATCTCTGTAACAGGCCATGGAGGCTCATAGGGTTGTGAGATGCTGAGGTTCCCACATTTACTAGACAGTCGGCTCACAGATGGCCGCAAGGTTGTCAGCCCTATGTGCCGGCTGCCCTTTACCCCCAAGAATATTCCTGGTACTCATTTCTGTTAGAGGCTGGGTCGACCCCAGGGATATAATGCGACCAGGATTAGGTCAATTGAAAAAATTCAATGACCTCATCGGGACTTGAACCCACAACCTTCCGGTTTGTAGCATAGTGCCTCAACCAACTACGCTACTTTGTGTCCCTGACCGAAATATGTACAGGCATTAAATATATATATACTGAGTCACAATGGATGGTGTTATCAATTATTCTATAATAATTTACTAGTGTGACAGACCAGAATGAATAAAATTAAACATAATTCACATTTCACACCTAATCCCAGGAAGCAAAGGGGAAGTGCAGGGAACATTCTTGGAAACATAATTTATTAATATTCTTCCCCCAGCACTATACAGCCTTGCAACTGGAAGTGTGGTGAACTAATCTATAAAAAAAAAGTGTTTCCTAACCCCCAGTAAATGTAACCTCAACTTGAAATGTATGGATTCAAAATAATTCAAGAGCTAGATTAAAAGGTTGGTCCTGGAAGAAACTGTATTTCTCCAAGTCACATATACCTCAAAGTAACAAATTAAGTGCAAACACTGTCACCCAAGAAATAATGCACACTGTGTAGTCTCCTACAAATGCAGACATAACAGGTATGTAAAGATAAGACTGGGACCCTACACAAAGTTAGAACATATTCATTACAATTATAAAATATAATTTTTTCAACTATTACACAAACAATTTTGCACTGGAACTTTCATTCCTTCATTGATGTTGCAGAGAACTGGGAAGTAAAATGAGCCTAGCCTAATGATTCTTGTCAGGTGCCCAAATCAAAGATTTAATTTCACATGTATTATTTGCAATATATTAAAACACATTTTTCAGCCCTCCAATTAAATTTCAGTTGTAGTGTGCAATTTTTCCTGACCATAAAATGATCTGAATCGTTATTCAAATTGCAAAAGTTTGTGTCTGTGGCTTCTATTACTATGAATGATTCCAAATAATTACATTACATGACAACTGATATTCCACTGTCACTGAACTTTCATTTGGGAAGAACTACATCATGCCATACCTTGGTAAGCTTGTCATAAAGAAAAACTCTCCACATGTGAGTAAAGCACACATGCATACACATATACACACATCAAACATGTTAATTCTGAACAGATTTCATGCATGATTTGTTGCATATCGAATAAACTAAAAAAATGCGATTACAATACCTTAGCATAAGCTCTTCATCAATGTACTGCAAAAGACTCCTGTTGGTAAAAAAATACACAAAAATTCTAAGCACAGGGTTACAAAGAATTTAGGAACACATACTGTCAAAAAGCTAAGCATAAGATACAGAACTAAAAATAAATATGAGAAACTGATAAATAATATACCAATATCTGTACTTATTAAAATAATTTAAATGATTGATTCATCTAAGTACTAGCACTAATGGTTATCACAACTTAAGAATTATGTCACCTGAATGGTTTCAAATGTGACATATATCTAGCTTCTTACATATTACTGCATAAAGTTAATACTAGAAAGTTCATCAGTTTAGGAAAGCCAACTACAAGTACAACATATATTAACACAACATACAAAGAGTACTTTTCACAAACAATTTCAACAACTAAAGCATACTACCTTTCCTTCATAGTCTGCATTAATGGCAACTTTATGGTATCTATTTTATGACATGCTGCACAAACACCGCATTAGAAGAAATACCCATTACCGCAAACACATATTCTGGCGCCACCATTTAAAATTTAAAACCTTGAATGACATGTATACTATAAGTGAGGATCATCTAACTACCACGATCTTTTTGAATCATTCGCCTGAAGATATACAAGTGAAAATAAATCAGAAACTTTGCTATGATCATAGTTTTGATAGATGAATTAAATTCACTGTTATGAACTTGCATTCTATAACTTGGTTTTGTACTTAATTGGGTGTTCATATTACTCAAGCAATCTTTCTTATAAATTAAATTACAACCAATTTTAAAGCAGTATAATCTATTATGTTTCAGACTAAAAGTAATATTAGTCTAGAAACAATGTCATGGCCAGGAACTGTGAAAATCTACCTCTTCAGCAGGTTTCACAAATACAATAGTGCTGTGTGTGTTTATCCAAATGTGCAACCAATACAGAAATGAAATATATTTAAAAATATAACAAAAACTTATGGGCACAACTTATTACATCTACTTCCTTACAGATGTTTGATACTTCTTTCTTTCTTTCTTTCTTTCGCATAATTTTCACCAGTACAAATTCTGACTGTTAATGTCAGCCATAACCACAGGGATTTCAGCTACTGTAATATTTGTAACAGTGTCAGCATGTAAACAATATTTCACAAAAAATTTTATGGGTATGTTAATGATCTATCGGTACACAAATTTTCACATGTGTAGTTTCAAAGGTTATCACTTTCAAACAAAAAGGTAGATATAATATGTGCAGTAATACCTCCTTACTGTCATGCATTCTACAGAAAAATTATCTCAGTAAGATTTGCATATTTCTTCTAAGATCTACTGCCACAATAAAATTTCAGTACCATATATTACATAACTCCCACTTTACAGTTTGCATACCTACTTAGCCGGTATTACTATCACTGAAAATCAGAATACAAAAAGGTGGGGTATACATTGGCATGATCTTCAAACCAAGCNTATTCTGATGTTTCTAGTTTTGGTTTGAGACATCATTAGTTCTGATCTACACAGCAAGCTATTTTGATTCCTATTCTAATAAAAATAATTTAACATGCCAAAAATTATAAAGAAAGTACTAATCTGTTACTGAGCTAAATTCATCATTATAATTTGTTGTATAAGAGTATAATTGTGAGTTTTATTTATTCTTTCATACTGTTCTTCCTCTGTCCTTAAGTACTGTGTCAGTAAATTATTAGAATAAATCTAACAGAAGATGATTCACAATACTGAAGCCCAGTATTGTTACAACATAAGCATAATAGAAAAACCTATCACAACTTTCAATAAAAGCTTTGCTGTATCTGTGATACCTGCAAAAGTGAACTCCAGAAATTCCCAGCCATTCAAAAAATAACTCAATTTTCCACAATTAACAAGATTTTATATAGCTGCACAGGTGAAGAATGAACTGCCATTAAAATAATAAATGATCTATATGCAGCAAATAACAGAAGGCATTCCCCGGGGGGGGGGGCTATTCCTCATACATTTTAATACAAGAACTATACAACAAAATATATGAGAATCACATTTCTACAGTTTCATTATTTTATTGCTTTAACTCATACCAAGCTGATGCAAACAAGAAAAATATACATGCTAAACACATGACAGGGCTTAAAATAAAACAATTTTTTGTAGAATTAGTTGACAAACTTGAGGAAATGAAAACTTTATACGCGAAAATTACACAAGCTTGCATCACAATCATGCAACACACTCCATGCTTTTGAAAATACTCAAGATAAAGTATAGTGAAGAATAAATATTTTGCTCTCTTCAATGGGGTTGGGGTGTGGAAGGATACAATTATTTAATGAAAGGACGAAAATTATATGTTCATTTGACCAATATAATGAAACAGCAATTCAAAACACTTGCACCATTAGAAACAGCTTTCCAACAATGATGTATGAAAGCTGGAAACTACGGCACAGCTCAAAAAAATATAAACTAATTATCTAAATCAAAAATCTCTCTTCTAAGTATATGTTCACCATACAAACTAGAACATGCCTTGCCAATGCCTGTAATTACCTTAGGCCACAGAAAAAGAAATGCACAAGATTCATAAATCAAATCCAGTAAAATTACTGATAATAGCTTCACTGCAGTAGGATGCTGTAGCTTGTTTTCACTGTCAAAACAATTACTAACATCCATACTTAAGAGAGACAACAGAGGTAGGGCTACCACAACAGTGCAACTTATTTTTCTGACATAGCTTGTATAGTAAAATATGAAGCTGAGCATTTTATTCATAATTTTGAATGCCTGTTTTCACAAACAAATATCAAATAATTTTATACAATAATATATTTGCATTCTTATTTAAAAACTAACTGAATTTGAACAGTACAGCTGTAAAACTTCCAACAGAAGCCATTTATATAAGCAAAAATATTTTTTAATTAAAACACCAAAATTTTTATTACTAGACACAAACTTTGCTGGTGCCTAATGAGGTTCAACTTAAAAGGCTGGTCTAATGGCAATACTCTAGACTTGTATTCAGGATATTCTCTGTTCAAATCTCAGCCAGGTCACTGTCTATTCTGACTATGGTGTTTCCTGGTTTTCTTCAGTCTCTGCAGGCTAATGCTAGGATAGTGCCTTTATCTGGCCATGACCACCATGACTTCCATATTTAGGAACATTCTTGAAAATTCTTGACGTTTGAATTGAATGAAGGTCTCCAAAACTAGCTGCCCATATGATATTAAACTAAAATATAATAATACATCTCACCGAAGCCTACAATCCATATTTAGGAACATTCTTGAAAATTCTTGACGTTTGAATTGAATGAAGGTCTCCAAAACTAGCTGCCCATATGATATTAAACTAAAATATAATAATACATCTCACCGAAGCCTACAATCCATATTTAGGAACATTCTTGAAAATTCTTGACGTTTGAATTGAATGAAGGTCTCCAAAACTAGCTGCCCATATGATATTAAACTAAAATATAATAATACATCTCACCGAAGCCTACAATTATATTTTAAAATTTTTCCATGTGCCAAATGTTCATACTTAAAAACACATTCCTTCATGCTCTTAAGTAAAGTAGAAGGCCTAACTGTTCTATCAAATTATATGCAAGTTGTCTATAAAAATGTTTCTACATCTATACTTTATTACCTTCAGAATCAGATGAAAGGAAATATTCTGCTCTCTCACTTTTATGAAATCATGCACACACACACATACACTCCATTCCCATTCCATTTCCCATATTTACATACTGAAAGGACACCATAAATTACGTATGTACATGTAACACATTATATCTTCAGTTTTAATTAACTTGTATAACCTCTGCCAGCAAACAGTACTGGTTTGCTTGATGGAAGCTTCATTAATATGGTTATGAGAATGGTGTCCATGTGCTAATTTAATATGTTAAACTTTACAACCTGTATAAACTAATATTTTCTTAAAAAACAAGGGTTAGCAGGATAACTAAAGCATCAACACCCACCCATATACTATCCAAAACTATACATTGTTAACCATAGTTCTACAAGTATGCCTTTAGAGAGACCACAGCAACACTAGGATTACAGACCAAAGTGGATTTACACTGTCTACAACACACTATATCAAATACAGACACAAAAGAATCTGCCCCTTACACTTGTTACTACATTAATACTATCACAAAAGACCAATTAATTTCAATATTTCCACTTGGCATTCAGTAACTGGAACTACAGCTTCACCAGCACAACATTTTCTCAGACAGGATTTTATTATGGGATATTAAGAATAATGGAACTGAAATAATGAGAATATGACAAACTGAAACGTTTAAATAAAATTGGGTGCTACGGCTGAAATATATATTTTATGCATTCTTTGAATAAAATGCTGATGATAAACAAACACTTGGGGAAAATGACAACACATCCATTGCCAATTAACCACACAGTTAAGTCTCCATGAATTTTTATGNAAGTATGGGCACTGGGGGGGGGGTTAATAAATTACACGAAACACAAATTTCATTAACATCTACATATCTACACGCACACATGCACACACACATATGTTTGTATGTTTAATTAAATAAAAGGGAGAAAACAATTTACTGTTATAAACAGTTTCATATCACTGTTGATTAACTGTAACTGTAACTGTAACTGTACGGTGTGGGCCAGATAGAGGACAGGCACTGCCTTCGGGCATCTGTGGCCATCACCAGACCTGATATCACTGCAGGGCTGTCTGACAGGAACCCCAGTCAGCTGTACGATGGGAAGTAATAATTCCAAAATATCGTTCTATAGAGGAGATATCCCATTTCCTGAGCTTGCTGAACAGTGAAATTTTCCCACACCAAGTGGACACAGTGAGGCACAGGATGGGGCAGAAGTAAAATGGCGATATTGGTTGAGGAAGTGGAGGCTTGTGCTGTGATATAGTTCCTGCATTTGCAAGGTAAGTCTACCAGGGAGACCCATGACCAGATGACGGCTGTGTATCAGGAAGGTGTACCATCATATGACACAGTGGTCAGGGTGAAGAGGCACTTTCACTGTGGACAGACAAACCTTGAAGATGAACCCCAAAGTGGAAGACAATCTCTCGCTGAGGAACCGGGAATTGTGGCACAGGAGGAAAGCTTTGATCCTATCCAACAGGCGCATAACTATCGAAGCTATTGTTCATGAGGTCTGCATTGGCCATGGGTCGGTTTTCAGCACCATCCATGATGAGTTACACATGACAAAGGTCACTGTGCATTGGGTGCCACAATTGTTGACACCAGTTCAAAAACAGCAATGGATAGATGTGGCAAAGAAACTTTTGCAGTTGTGTCACCATGAATAGGTGGAATTTTTTGACAGTCTGATCATGATGGATGAATGCTGGGTCTATCATTATGACCCTGAAACAAAGGAAATGAGCAAGAAGTGGAAACATACAGACTCACTGCCACCAAAGAAGGCCATCTCCCAGCTGACATCAGGAATGGTGATGTTGAGCATGTTCTGGGATTGGTGGGGTGTCATCATGATTGACAACACGCAAAAGGGGGGCCACCATCACTGGCGAGTATTACCGGAACCTCTAAGAAAATTACGGGAGGAAATCAAGTAAAAGCGACGTGGAAATTCTCCCCCATCTACCATATTCACCAGACCTGGCACCGAGCGACTTCTTCCTCTTTCCATAGCTAAAGAAGCTAAAGAAGCGATTCCAAGATGATGATGATGATGATGATGATGATGACTTCCTAAACAGTCAGAATACTGGAAGGCACAAATCACTGCTACTGCTGCCTTACATTAAAATCTTTAAGAGACTTTAAAAAATGTTCACACAGACCAGGATCTCTCTTGCAGACAAAGAGGTTTGCATATACTGCATCATATGTTCTATCAGTGATCATGTCCATAAAGGCCAGTGATAAGATAAGTTTACTTTTACAGCATATATACTATCTACAATGTAGCCAATGTAAATCCACTTTCATTTAGTTTCATTAAAAATATCAATCACCAAACTCCCCTATTACTATGTTACACTAGAAAACTCTGTGTTAGGAAAAATACTGCATGATGCAGGTGGCACACCCAAACAGGGCAATGTTGTTTCCTGCCTACCTTAGAGACATTCTATAGATGGCTGTCCCAGTAAGACGTGGTTTGCAGGAATGCATCAAGTGTTCCTGACACTCCTTCTCACAATTTAAGTAGCTAGCACATTGCTGAGGAGTGCTGGGTCTTCTTAATGCAACAGTAGGTAACAATATTGAGAATAACACTACAGCCAAATATTACGACTTCTAGCATCCTGAATACAAACACTACCCTCCATATCAAGGAACACCGGTGAACAACAACAGATAACTGTGATGAAGATATGTCACATTCTGTATTTCTGTCTATTTTAATTAATCATGTAATCATATAATGCTTCACACATATCAACAAAATGCATATCTATGAACATATGTCTTGTGGGGTTTCATTGCTGTAAACAGTGGAGTTGATTCTATTAGTAAGATTTCCATCACAAACTGTATTTCTTACAGGTATTAATAAAACCTGGAATGACTATCACATTTCATGAATATGTACCTACAACTGATAATGTAAAAATTAAAATTATAAAATTAAAAGCAAATTACCACACCTGTACACTTAGCACAGCCAGCTGATTTAGTTATGGAAGAAAGCTGTCTTCTGGGATGTGGCGCCGTGTAGAAATTGTGTTAACCGACGTTTCGGAGGAATGTATCGCCTCCATCTTCAGGGTAGAAGACTGTTGCATCTGCTCTGCTGGTTTGCTCACGGATTTCTTCGTCTTCTACCCTGAAGATGGAGGTGATACGTTCTTCCGAAACGTCGGTTAACACAATTTCTACATGGTGCCACATCCAAGAGGATGGCTTTCTTCATAGTCACCACCATGAAAACCTCAAATCTTACATGATTTAATTACTGTTCAGTTTTTACTTCTGCCTCAGGTATATCACAGCAGCAGCATTATCAATAATTACAGCCACACAACGTGCTAGCTGAAGCTAACAACAGTTACAGTTGCGAAGAGCAATATTACAACCAGAAATGTTCCTAAAACTGAAAACAATAATAAACTCACTCCATGGAGCAGATACCTTCTTGAGAAGCTAATAGTGTATCAGCTAGTCAAGAAATTCCTCACCTAACTACTACTGTTCCCACAACAGCCTGCCACAGGATTGTGTCAGAAGGAAAATTAATCTAGGTCACATCTTCACAACCTGTTTAAGATCCACCTTCCTCACATCTAAAACCATACTATATGTCATCACACCCCAGAAGACAACAGACTTAACCTTCACCACTGAAAGAATTTCTAATCTTTTCTTTTGTTTCACTTAATACAGTACTGTTATGTAACTATGAAGCCCGTTTCTTTATGTAAAATGACAGAAAACCTAGAATTTGATGCGTGTCCACGCATGCACATATACTGAAAACAAAACCCATATGATCTCTATTTAAGGACTAAGGAAACGGGCACTCAAAGTATTATACTTGAGATTACTCTCAAGAAGAACTGCTGCTGACATTTATTCTTGTCAAATCATCACTGTAATAGGCGGTCATTACCTCTTCCATTTTAAACACAACCCAGACTTATCATCACACAGAAGAGGATCCAAGCAGGATTATTAAGAATATAATTTACATTTCTCACTCTAATATACACATGGATTTTTAAAAATAACAACAGGTTCTAATATCAAATAGGATAAACAACATTGAAGCAGATCCTACATAAAAACTAGAGATACACACGAACACACAATCAACTGTTATAATACCTTATTCACTCACATAATTGTTAGCACTTGCATGATGATCACATCATAGTTTCATGGCCAAATATTCAAGTTTTCCCACATAACTGCATTACATTATACTGCTATATTTCAACTGACACATTATGTTTATACTGGTATAATTTGTATCATGCATTATGTTTCTGGCTATGTTTCAACTGACATATTACATCAGCCTTGCTATAATTACTACTTTCTTCAAACAACGGTAAAATTTAACTCTGGTGTCTTTGTTTTGTATTTAGTGTCATATTCTGTACCATTTTATCCACACACATATAAAAAGCATCACCAAGTTCTTCTGTTTATGGGTGATGCTGAGGATGCAAATATGGCACAGAAATAGTATAGAGGTGTCCCAGGAAGAAGCAGCCAAAGTGAGGAAAGTTATTAATTGGTATTTTTGAATAGCAAATGTCATATAAACATGTTTCCTATTTTCAACAGGTATGGGGTTGTGGGCATTTTCAGTATAATTATAAAATCAGGTTCTGTACAGATGTAAATTATTATAAAGTTGTTTATTTACATTATATTAATTGTATCTACATGTGTTCAAACTAGGTACCTTCAACTTTCAGTATACTTTAAAGACTGATGTATCAGTGAATCAATGCCCCTTATTTGTACTGCAGCATCAAAAGTTCTACAAAACAGTGCATCTCTCAGATTAGTTTCCTTTCCACACACCAATGTTTTCACATGAAGATTTTGGTGGCCAGGCAACTGGACCCCTTTGACCAATATAATATTCAGGACAGGTCTCATGAAGACAGTCTGTCAACTGACGCGAGGATGAGCAAGTTCCATTATGTTGTATATACATATACTGAATCATCCAAGGAACATCTAAGTGGACTGACAGTTTATTTTGTAAATGGTCTGTGTAAATTTGTGCCATAATATGACCTTCAAAAGATAAGGTCTGATGAAACAGTTAAAAAAGATGTAGCACCTCACATTCACTAAGTACTGGTGTTGAAAACTGCCTCCTGTAACTTTGTGAGGATTTACTTCCAACCATACATGTGAATTACACATGTTATTCACTCCGTCATAAGCAAACTAAGCTTCATCAGTAAATAAAATGATTCACCACAGTTCCAATTATTAATCCACAGGAAAAACTGTAACCATCAATTGCAGGCCATTAATTCCAAATGCTGAATACACTGTACATGACATGAACAGTCCTTAATTTAACATCCTCCACAATCAGGTCAGGAATATGAATGTGCAGATATCATTCTTGTGCTCAGATGTGGGATGCACTGAATCATCCGCATCTCCTTGGGGATGTTCTGACATTAAAATGCTATGAAATAGTCCCATCTCCCACAGATGTCTGTGAATACTGGTAAATATTTTTACCCGGAATTATTCTGCCTGGGAATTGTCATCAATATTCTACACCAGCAGCTCTTGCATTAATGTTGCAAAACCCATAACTGAAACACATATATCTATATACTCATTGTCTGAATACTGAAATGGCACGTAGATTCTAAAGAGTTCTGAAGATGGTGTAAAATACTCAGAAAAAATACTGGGTTTTTGGACTTTGTCCATTGTCCGGTATTCTAGAAACTAGAACACACAACGTTTTGGAAACTGGATTGAGGTCAGTTCTTTCTACGGGACACAGCAGGGCAGGTGTCTTCCCCTTTCCCTCACAGGAGGATGGAAATAGATCCGGTTTCTGAAATGTTATGTTATTTTAGTTTCTAGCATACCAGAAAATGGACGAAGTTCAAAAGCCAAGTAATTCTGAGTGAAATGGCATGTTTTGCAATATGGTTCTACATTACATAATACAGAATTGTAGTCTACAATATTAAACGCAAGTTAACAAAATGACATGCCTACAAACACTCTTGCTCAACATTGAACAAAAAAGATCACAGCGTAGCTGTAATTACAACATGAATGCACATGCAAGTTATTGCAATGTAGGTGCTTCAAGTGCACTGCTTTACAGAGTTCTTTCAATGACAATGTACTAAAGTCAAAGATGCACATTTTGAGCATGTCTGCCATCTTGAAATAATTTAATTTCATGTATTTCAGGTATGTCTTCTGCCATTTTTAATACTCTTTAATAAGCCATTACTCCTTACCAGCTAAGAACAGGACACATGTTCATATGACATTTCTTAATCAAAATGACTTAACGATACTCCCTCAATTCTGCCCCGTCCTCCTGGGACACTCNATTTCCACACCTTGTATATGTCACAGTCAAGTTTTGCATCATGTTAATTCTTTGTAAGAAAATCTCCAAGAAAATTACCAGGCAGCCCGAAATCAATCCTGGACATAGAATAGAATTACTTGACAGCATTCAGTTTGTGTGGGAGTTGTAAACTGTATCAGATATTTGTATAAAGAACATATATATAATGCTAGTTAGTTTATTACATTGCAGTCTGTTTCCTTATGAAGGGCTAGATACTTCTAATACTACTGCACTCCAGCCCTTCAACATCTCCTCTATGGCATTTCTTAACAAACTGCGGTAAAGCCCACCTATCCTTGCGTTACATACTTTGGGGACAACACAGTTGTATCACCCTGCCAGTAGAAGGCATATGTCTATATATCTGTCAGATTCTCTCACTTTGAGAAATGTTGGGTAAAATGGCCAGATGATGGGCTAAACTGCACCTCTACACCTAGCAGGGAATCCATAACGTAACTTCAACCTCCTGTCATCTTTCTGATATTGTGACATCTGTGTGCTTAATTGTAAAACACAAAAAATGTTGCTGCCAACCTCATAACTTGCACTAGACTATAACTTCCTCTGAAACTGGCATAAGAAGTGTCAGTATTGTGTAAGTAAATATAATATTTAGGCCGCGCCACAGCTCAAGTGGTTGTTAGTTGCTGGCTTCCCACCGCGGCGGCCCGGATTCAATCCCACATCTGGTCAAGTGGGATTTGTGGTGAACAGGTTTCTTCCAAGGACTTCGGTATCCCCTGCCAATCTTCATAACACCAACTGCTCCAAAATCACCCTCACCTATCATCTGGGGCTGGTAAAATAGGCCAGAAGTGGCTGCAGTACAAGGGACTTAGTCCCACCCCACTAGCAATAAAAAAAATTAGTTCCAGAGGTCGGCGGAAGCAACAGTGACATTTAGCGGCATTGAACATCACAACGAATATTTTGGAATAAACACACTAATGAGCATGAGCTCTCTACAAACTGTTGTGCTTGGCATGTGTACGTCATACACAACTGTATCTAGTGGGAACAATTTTATTAGCAAATTAATGTGTAGACACAGGCCAGGCTAAAACTGATATACATAATAAATATAATTAGTAAGACAAAAATGTCATGATGCATACATTTTTGTATGGGAGTTGAAGTAGGAGAACAACAGTTAC